TAAATATCCAACTGTGTTTAATAATAATTACCTCATGTTTAAAAAATTATTTAAATAACAAAAGTAATTTTTTCTTTAAAAAAGAAAAGCCGATTGATCGGCTTATGGGAAGAAGAATAGAAAATAAAAGAAAAAAATCAAGGAAAATAAAAGTATTTTTAGTTTAAGCCGCGGGGTAAAAATAAATTAGTGAAAAAATTTTTTTGATTGGAAAAAGTAAAAGAAATGACAACCGCTTGGGTGGGCAATTGAGTGAATAGAGGACATTTGTTATTTTAAAATCAGAATTATTATTTTTTTTAAAGAAAATTCTGAATTTTTTGTAAACCCAGAATTTAAATGAAAAATATAAACTTGGTTTTTAAAATAAAAATCAGAATTAAAAAAATATTTTTCTGATAAATAATTCTGGTAATTTTAAAAACATTATACATAGTCGTTAGAACAAAAATTCTGATTTTTTTCATCTAAAACCAGAAATAATTTCGAACAAGTTTATAAAAACAAGCTACATTAAATACAAGTTTAATTAAAATCAGAATTAAATTAAAATATGGTTATTTATAAAATCAGAATTAATTCTGAACAAGTTTAATTATAAAAATCAGAATTTTTCCAAAAGTTTATTTGAAAACCAGAATTAATGCAAAACAAGTTTAATTAAAAATATTTCCAGACTCTATAAAAGAACAACTATAATTAACAAAGGACACTTGTGAGGGAATTTTTAGTGGATAATTTAAGAATAAAAAAAAAATATTCTTTTCTCGTTATATTCTCTATTGAAAACGATGTAATTTTGTCTTGTAATTTATAGAAAAAAATTATTTGTTGAAGTAATTAAATATATATTTTTTTGAAAGGTAATTTAAGGAAGAAAATTTAGGACAAATTTTGTAGGGGGACAATTTGTTTTAATTCTTTATTTTAATTGATATTTTTTGGGAAGAAAAAATAAATCTTTTTTTTATCGCAAATTAAAAAATAATTTTTTTTGTTGAATTTTAAAAATTAAAAAAAAATTTTTTTTAAATAAAAGTTTATATCTATTTTTATAATTATTAAACTATATGAATACTGATAATTTAAAAATAAATTTACAAAAATAAAAATTAAAAATAAAAAATTTTTTTTGTCCGCAAAAATTTTGCGGACAAAAAAAATTTTTGCGGACAAATTTTGCGGACAAAAATTTTGCGGACAAAGGCAAGAGAATTTTGAACATACCTCAATTTAATTTTTAAAAATTAATTAATCTTCTTTTGTTGGAATAAACCCAAACCGTTTAAAGGCTTCTTTTTCAAGCATTTCCCTATCGTCAGGATGTGATATTTGAATTAATTCATAAGCACGTTGACGGACTGTTTTTCCCCACAAACTAGCTATTCCATATTCTGTTACTACATAATTACACTTGAAAATAAATTTTTTTTGGAATTTATTTTTAATTAAAGAAAATTTTTTGTTCGCTAGAAATAAAAAAAAATTTGTCCGCAAAAAAATTTTTTGTCCGCAAAAAATTTGCGGACAAAAATTAACTTGCGGACAAAATTTTGCGGACAAATTTTGCGGACAAAAATTTTAAATTTAAAAAATAAATAAGCTCTTACATGTCCTTTAGTTGTAACAACACCTGCCCCCTTAAAATATTTATTTTTAAAATTTAGATGGCCCACAAACCTCTTTTACATGAGGAACAATTTTAGGTTCTCCTTTAGTCGTTCTAGAAGGAAGGGCGATTATGGCTTTTCCAAGACCATCCAGAGCTACGGATGATCCAAAAATAAAATCAACTTGGCCACCAAAACCTTTGTGAAAAAATTTGAAAAAATTTTTTTAATTAAAAAATTTTTGTCCGCAAAAAATTTGCGGACAAATTTTTTGTCCGCAAAAATTTTGCGGACAAATTTTTTTAAAAATTAAAGAAAAAATTTTAAATTGCGGAAAAAATTTTTATTACTTAAAAAAATTACCAGAATAAAATCTTTTTCCAATAGTATCAGAAACTACTTGCCCAGTTAAATCTACTTCTATAGCTGAATTTATTGCGGTCATTTTACTTTGTTGGATAATTGTTGTTATTGAATTGGTGAATCCAGCACTTCCAAATACTTTAAATTAAATTTTAGGAATTTGAAAAAAAAAATTTTTTTTAATTTAAAAATAATTTTTAAGCCAAAAAATGGTCAAAACAACTAAATAACCCAGGAAGGATTCGAACCCTCATGGTCGACAACGCAAGACAAGCACGCTAACCAGTCGGCCACCACAAACTTAAACTCGACTATTTAATCTAAGTATGTAACTTATATAAAAATAAACTTAAAATCAACTAAAAATTAAATGAACATCCTAATTTAAAAATTATTGCGGACTAAATTTGCGGACAACCTCCCAAAACTTAATTTAAAATTTTTACTTTATTTTTTATTAAAATAAAAATAAATAAAAATAAAAACCGAACAAAATAAAGGATTTCCATCCAAAATTTCATAAAATTTTTTAGACCCCATAGCAAAGCAAGTAACTATTCTGCCTGGATACATTGTTTTTTGACTGTTATTAATTACTCCCAATTTTAATAAATCTACAATTCCATCACTTATCATTTCTGTGTGAATACCCAAATTTTTGTGTTGTTTTAATTGATCCAAAACGTTGTTCGGGATTGAACCTATTCCTTTAAAAATATAAAAAAAAAATTAAAAATTTGCGGACAAAAAATTTTTGCGAACAAAATTTAATTTGCGGACAAAATTTAATTTGCGGACAAAAAAAAATAACAAAAAAATATAAGGTCACATCTACTCAAAATAAATTTCAATAAGAAAAATAAAAACAAGAACAAGTACTTGGACATTTGATCCCAGATTTAATATTCTTTAGATTTTGAAAGAAAAATCCGAAGAAAAACAAAAAAGTTAACAAAAGTCAATGAAACCCGGAAAATTTCGAAAAAATTTAAGAGCCAAAAAAATGCGGAAAAGAATTTTGCAGACGAAAAATGCGGACGAAAGTTGCGGACAAAATTTGCGGACGAAAAATGCGGACAAAATTTGCGGACGAAAAATGCGGACCAGACAAAAACAAAAAAAAAATAGAAAAATTGTGAGAGTCATATCCCTCAAAACCCCAAAATTAATTAACACAAAAAACCTTCTCTATTTCCTCACCCATTTGTAAAGTCGCCCCATTATCAACTAAATTTTCAGCTATCCATTTCCCAATTAACCTTTCCTGGTCATTCGATTCAATTGCTGGTAATTCGAAAATTGGTGTTGTATTGATAGAATGTTCAACTAAATAGTCAATTTGTGATAAATGAATTTCTGAATCTCCAAAAGTTTTTGGTTGAGAAGTGTTTATTGTGGCTATTATTTTTTTGGCGTTTCTGGCGGCTGGACTTAAAAAATTTTTTTAATTTTTGGAAAAAGCACATTTGCGGACAATCACCTTTTGCGAACAAACTCCTATTTACTCCTTAAAATTGTCACTAAAAATTTAAAAAAATACAGGACAGAATTCACTGCTTAAATTTCCGCAAATGTGCTCTTGGAATTTAAAAAAAACTGGAATTTTAAAGAATTAAAAAACCTGGATAAATCCACATTAACACCCAAAGAACAAAAACCATGTTTATCTGGAGGTGATAAATTCAATAATGCAGTATCTACAGGTATTGCTTTTTCATCAAAGAGACGAGCAGAATCGGAGAGAAAAAGAGGAATGTAATCGGCCAGACCTTAAAAATAAACCTTTTTCGTTAATCCTCCTTCAGTTAGATAAGAAAAGCTGTCAAAGTTTATTCTAATTATCTTCTAAAATCCGCAATTTTTTGTCCGCAAGTCTTATTTGCGGACAAAATTTACGGACTTTATGGGCCAGTAGACTTGAGAAAAATTTAAATATAAAATAAGAAAATTAAAAAATAATTTTAAAAAACCTTTATTTACCAGTGGGCGCATACTGTTACATATAAAAATCGTTCTGCTTCGTATTTTTCCATTAAATTCTTCTTTAAGCCAAGGCAACTTTTTTTTTTAATTAAAAAAAAAAATTTTTTTTAACTTAGTTACCTCACCACAGGTTAGTGCATGCATAACCTTAATGTCAGTCAATCCATTTTTGAGTACATGCCTACCCAAAGCTTTGCACAAATCAATGGGCATAGAAACAGCATGGTGGAGGTAAATACTTTCTCCTGTAAAAATTATAAAAAATTACAAAAATTTTTCTAATGCAAAAAATTAAAGCAATTTTGACTTATAATTAAAATTAATTTTGAATAAAAAAATTTTTTTTACCCTAAACGGACTCGAACCTTCAACCTAAATATTTACCGAACAACAAACACACAACCCACCCCACCACCATTATTTAAAAAATTAAGAAAATTTCTAACGAGAAAATTAAAGTAATTTTGACTTAAAATTAAATTCCAACAAGGAAAAAAATTTTATGCCAAGCGGACTCGAACCTCCACCCCAAATATTTACCAAACAAACGCACTACCCACTACACCACCCATATTTTTTTAATAAAAAATTTTTAAAAAACCGGATTTAATTTCCTTGACAGCCTCATCCAATCCACATATTTTTGGCATTTTTCCTTCAATTGGAGTTGCTAATGTCCTCAATGGCTTGTCAAAATATCTCAACCCGAATAGGTAACGGCATTGGGTTGGGCAAATCTTCCAATAATGGAAGAGAGAAGAAACCATTTCTCTTCTAAAATAAATTTTAAAAAATTAATTTATTTAAAAATAATCAAAAATAATTTTAAATTTAATCTAAAAATTTTCTAAAATAAAAATGCTATTAATTAGGATCAATAAAAAAATTTTTGGCACCAAAAGGATTCGAACCCGCGACCCCAAATAAGGAGCAGTCAAGAACACTAACCATTACACCACAATGTTAGTTCACAAAATTTTTTTATTAAGCGAACCTATAGAGATAGTAATAAAACTAGCAAGAACAATAAAAAAAAATTTTTTTGACCTCAAGAGGGCTCGAACCCCCGACCCCTAAACATGGGTAGTCAAGAACGCTAACCATTACACCACTAATGTTACTATCGGACTTTCGTACAAAACGAACTTAAACAAAAAAATAAAACATGGAAATTAAATTAATTAAAAACCACAACACCAAAAATAAAAAAACGGTTTAAAAAACCAATTTACAACAAAACAAAAAAACACGACAAAAAAGCTTTATTGATAAAAGAGAAATGCAATAAAAAAAGAAATTTTTTTAAATGCAAAACACGAAATTTTAAGTTAAAAAAGGCGAGTATCAAAATTAAATATTGCCACTAATATTTGATTAAATATTTAAGTGAAAGAACAAAAAAATAATAATTTTTTGATTGGGATATTTTTTTGGTTGGGATATTCTTTTAAAATGTATACTTTGAAGGTATATTTGAAGGTAATTTATTTAAATAAATATTTATGTCATTAAAAATATTTTTTTGAAATTTTTTATTTAAACAAATGTCCGTCTCCCTTCTACTCTCCCACACCCCTTCCACCTTCCATTCTCCCCTCCACCACCTCACCTAATCAACCCACCTCTCCCCTCCTCTATTCTCTTCCCCACATCCCCTAATCAACCCTCCTCCTCTCCCCGCCTCCATTTACTCCCCCCACCTCTCCTAATCAACTATCTACCCAATTTTCTAACCAATTTATTTTTTTTGTTCTCGTTTTCTCATTTTATCTAGTTTTCTATTTATTATTTAATTTATTTTATTCTTAATAGTAGTACATTTTTAATTGATTTTTGAGTTAATTATTGAAAGATCGGTTTAAGGAAAAGAATCCAGTTTTTAAAAATTTATGGAGAAGAGGGAGAGACTTAATTGTGAACTTAAGAAAATTCAAAAAATTTGAAAATAATTTCTTGCGGACAATTTTTGCGGACGTCCGCAAAAATTTTTTTCGGACAAAAAAATTTTTTGCGGACATTTTTGTAAATTTTATTTCCATAATTTTTCCTTTTAATGACATAAATATATACCTCAAATTAAAGCAAAAAGAAATTAAGTGAATATAGAGAGGTTTTGGCAGTAAATTTATTATTATTTTTTCTTTTTTAAGTGAATATTAATTTTCATGTTTCATCATTTCTCCTAAAATATACCCTTCCTTAAAAAAATTTTTTTTATTTCATTGAAGCAGAAGTCGGCGACAAAAATTGAACAGATGCTGGCTAATTTTTTTGGATATTTTAATTAAATTAATAAAAAAAATTTTTGCGGACAAATTTTTTGTCCGCAAAAAAATTTGCGGACAAATTTTGCGGACAAAATCCAAAATTTTTGTTATTTTTAAAATTAAAAAAAATTCACACTCAAAAAATTTTAAAAAATTAAAAACCTGTTTTTGTTGCAAATTCATTTCTGGAGAACAAAAATGTATTGGAAGACGGTTTTGATGAACCTTTGGAGTTGTTGGAGCTTTGTCACGCGGAACAAATGAACCATTCTTTCCAAAAGGAATTCCGAAGAAAGCACGGGTTCTGAAAATTATTTTTAAAATTATTATGAATGGAAGGGTATATGAAAAAAATTTTCAAAAAAATTTGCAGACAAAAAAAATTTGCGGACAAAATTTTTTGTCCGCAAGTTTTTTGCGGATAAAATATTTTTGCAGATTTTTTTCCAAATTCTGAACAGGATTCCAGGTCTATTATAAAAATGTGATTCTTTCAGAATAATTATCTCGAGGGAATATATTTATAATTTTAAGTGTCCGCAAATTATGTCCGCAAAAATTTTTTTGTCCGCAAAAATTAATTCAAAAGAAAAAAAAAATAAATTTAAAAAAACCGTTGAAATGGATTTTCAGAAGCGCTTCTAGGCCATATTTTACGACTTTCCTTGCTATTATTTCCCCTAGTTAATCCTCGACTTTGTCTTTCATTATTATTTTGGTTACTTGTCGATTGTTTTTGTTGTTGCTCTTTTTGAACATTTTTTTGCAATAATTGTTGTTGTTGAATTAAAAATGAAGAACAATCAGAACTTTTACGATGAAGAAAACCACGATTAACTGGTGGCATTATTCGAGGAATACCTTCAAAAAAAGTAAATTTATTTTAAAAATATAATATCTGCGGACAAATTTTTGCGGATTTCTCTAGTTTTAAAGATTCCTTCTTTTAAAGATTCCTAATTGATTGTCAAAAAATTAAAAATTCCTAAAAAATCTCTTGTCGATCTTGTAAAATAGCCACCCCTCCTACAAAATATCCAAAAACATTCCAAAAAAATTCGCCAAAAAATAAAAAATATTTTCGGATTTTTACACATCCAAACTATTTAAATTAAAAAATATTTAATAAAAAAAACCAACACAAATAATTAGCATATTGAATAAGTAAAGACACAACAGAAGCCTGCAAGCCTTTTCTGCGCTTTACAAAATCAATTTCTCTTAAGCTTTCCTAAAAATAAAAATATAATAATTTAATAGGCAACCCCTCATAAGCCGCCAAAATGGCAAACAATCATTTGGCATTTCGGCGGATTCTACGGTTTGGGATTTTCAAGGCTTTTAAGGGTGTGACCTTTTGGATTTTCATTGTTTGGCATTTCGGCGTACTTCAAATTTAATTAAAAATTAAAAAAAACCTGAGAACCCGTAAACTTCTTTTTCCTACAATTTGCAATGTTAGCCAATGGACGGCATCTAGACGAATCTCCATTAGCTGTCACACTGCTTGTACTGCTACTTAAACAACAAGAACTTCCAGTACCCCAAATAGAGGCAGACGGGCGCATTTCTATTGGATCTACAAATATTGCTGGGGCAAAGACTATACCCAAGTTTGCAATGGACATTTGATTTGTTGAGGAAAGATCGGAGACCTTGAAGAAAAATTTATTAAAACAACCAGTCTCTAGAAGAAAAAACCTTTTTAAGTTGTCTCATCAAATAGCACAGTGTTGCCTGGTTGGTAAGCGGAAGGAGATCTATCAACATTAAAACCTTCAAAATTAGTAAAAAGTTGTTTGTTTTGCCAAAAGAAGGATTTCGCCTTTATTTCGGGCATTCTCGAATTTATTTTATAAGCCTTTATTTTATAAATAAATTTTTATAAATCCGCAAATTTTTTGTGGATTTTTACAATCCGCTGACATTTCTCGTCCTTTCAGTCCGCAAATTTTTGCAGATATAATCCGCAAACCTTAGCAAACTTTTCTAAATCCGAAGATCTTAGCGACTTTATTAAGTCCGCAAATATTTGCAGACTTTTTATAAATCAGTAAAAGATGTCCGCAATAAAGACATCCTTTATAAACATAAAATATTAAACAAACCGATTCAGCCTGTACACGTTCATTGTTCAAAGTACTCACATTACTCATAATATTAGCTTGATGATCTCCAAGGATTGGTCTCTTCAAAGCCCCAAAAAATCGTTTAATTAAGGTGCAAACATCGTGGACTGTATAAGTATCAGGAATTCGTGAAAGTCCGCAAAATATTTGCTGAAAATTTGAGAAAAAATTTCTTTGAAAAAAAATTTCTTTTTAGTCCGCAAAAATTTTGCGTACAAAAAAATGGTAATCTTGTGCTTTACTGGTCCCTAGAAAAATCTGTGGAAAAAGTGTTAGTTCGACATTTTTGAGGTATGCCAGTAGGTAATCGATCTTGCTGAGTCCGAATCTGAGCTTAGAATTTGTTTATTTCGAGCCCCGGACCCGAATTCGACCATGTCAAACATGGGGTAAAAATTCGAAATTTCAAATTTTATGTCTAATCGGACTAGTCCCCTCGAGCAGAGTCGATTGGTAGTAAAATTATTACGTTTCGACATCTTTAGACTAAGTTATAGTGTCTGATTTGTATACTGGAGTGTAACCAAGCGTGTATTTAATTGATCATAACTTAGTCTAAAGTGTTCGACCTGGTCGAATTCAGGTCCAGGGTTTGAAATAAACAAATTCTAAGCCCATATTCGGACTCAGCACACTCGATTACCTCCTGTCAGACCTCAAAAATATCGAAAAAGTACTTGTACCACATTTATTTTCTAGGGACCAGCAAAGCACAAGATTACCAAAAAAAATTTTTTTAATTAAAAAAAACCCAAGGATTTCTCATTCTGACAGCACTTCCTTCTTTTCGAAATATTCCTTCCATAGTAAACGCATTTTTGTTTTCAAGCCATGTGAAGGCTTCTACCAGAAATCTGAAAAGAAAATCTTAGAAAAAATTAAAAAAATGTTTTGTTTTAATTTTTGCGGGCATTTCTTGCGGACAATAAACAAGAAAAAATAAATCCATTGGATAACAACCATTTAGTAAAAATGATAGGAATGGGGAAAGGTATTTTATCACTTGAAGGGGATTTTTATAGGTACCAACTGAAGATGGGAGAAACATTCTTTAGAATATTTTTTCGAACGCATTGTAATGCCAAAATGTCGAAATACCTAAGGGAGTTTTTTCAACTATTTTTGCGGACATTTAAAGAAAACTTTATTTGCGGACTGTTTTTGCGGACTTTTTATAAGATTGTAAGCTCCCCAAAAATATTTTTAGAAGCCCTCTTCCTTAGTTAGACCAAAACCTCCCCCCTTTCTTAACCCCAAACCTCCCAAAAAAATAATTTTAATAAAAAAAAAACAAACTAACAGAGGCACTCCATACAAAGTAACTTTCCTTCCCCTCCTTTTATTTCCACTCCCCGTCTCAATTTCAATATCATAAGAAAGCACATTTTCCAAAGAAATATTTAAAGGCCCCAAATCCTGAGTTTTTGTATTTGGCCGTTTCTTCATTGAAATAATTTCGTCTGTTGACATTTTTTTGAGGTAAATAATTAATTAATTATTTAATAAAGCTATATTACCTTAAAAACATTTATAAAAAAATTTTCCAAAAAAAAACATTTCTCCAAAAAAAAAATATTTTTGCGGACTCATGTCTGTTTGCGGATTCTTTTTGCGAACAATTTTTTAATTGGAAACTTTTTAAAAATTTTTTCCGCAAAAAATTTTTTGCGAACTCTTTTTGCGGACAATTTCCAAAAATATATTATTCCCTCGGAAATTCAAAAAAATTTTGACTTCTTTGCAAAAATTCAAGCCTGACCCTTTCATAACAATTTTTTTGAAAAATATTTAAAAAGGTCAAACCTTTTTAATTTTAATAATATTTTTTTTTAAATTGTCCGCAAAAAGAGTCCGCAAAAATATTTTTTTTGAAAAAATATTTTTTGAATTTTCAAAAAAAATTTTCAGCACCTAAAAATGAAAAGAAATAAATTTTTAAAAATAAAAGTGATTTTAAAAAACACAATTTTAGGCAAAAAAAAATAAATTAAAAGCTCTCCAAATTTTTATTTTTTTAATTTTAAATAAAAGCAAAAAAAAGTTAAAAATACAATCCAAAATAATTTTCACAAAAATTAATAGACAAAAAAATATTTTTTAGTAAAAAAAAATGTTGATTATTTTTACTTTTATTTTTACAAATATAAATTCAAAAAAAAAAATAAATTGAAAAAAAGAGAATTAATATATAAGAAAATTTTGAATTTCAGAGAGAGTAAATTAAATTTTTTTTAAATAAAAGAAGAGAAAAAAAATAAAATAATTTTTATTTACATTTTAGAGCCTATCTAATTCTTGAATATTTCCAAAAAAAATTTTTAAGAAAATTTTTTAAAATTTTCCAGAGCCCTCCAAAGCCCTCCTTCCAGAGCTCTCCTTTTTTGAAAGAAAAAAAATTTCCAAAAAATTTTTTTGAAAAGAAAAAAAATTTTCAAATTTTTCCAGAGCCTTCCAAAAAATTTTCCTCGAAAAATTTTTTTTTGAGAATTTCAAAAAATTTTTTCGAAATTTTTTCCACAGCCCTGACCCCGTTAAAAAATTTAAGTTTTTAATTATTAAAATTCAATTTATATACAAAAAAATTTTTTTCCTTAAAAAGGATAGGGCCTCAATAAATTGAAAGTATTTTTTAAAGAAAAAAAAACAAAAAAAAATTTTATACTTTATTTCAATTCATCATTGAAGAGGTACGTTTTCCTGAACGTCTAGCTACTCGTCGTCCTCTATTTAAATCATCATAGGAGAGCCTGCAAAAAAAAAAGAAAAATTTTTTTCAATAAAATATATAAAAAGAAAGCTTATTGTCAGGAGAAAAGCCAAGAAAAAAAAATTTTTTTTAATTTTATTTCCCCAATTTTTATTGAAAAATCTATATGTGTGGGTGGGTGTAGTCAACAATTATTCTCATATTTTTTTTATTAAATTTCTCTCCCTCTCAAACTTGAGTTTATGACACATAAAAAATATATGAATGGTTTTATTCTTATGCTTTATCAAAAATATTATTCTATGGGAAATTAAGCTTCTGGGATTACAGCCCTCTCCCCCGAAATGGAAAACCTCTATTTTTGTTGTGTAGTCCCTAAAAATCCCTAAAAATAAAAAAAAAATACCATTTAACTAGATCACGTTGTTTTGTATATGCCGGGCGTAACTGCATAGTTAATTTAAATTCACTTTTTGTAGCTGCGTGTGAGTAAACATGGTTGCTTACAAAAGATTGAATTTCTTCAGTCAAATTTATATTCATATTTGTTTGAAGTTCTCGATTGAATTCTAGGCCTATTAGCCAAAGGGTTGAGATTGGGTCTCTGTAAAAATATTTTGACCCTATACGCAGATCGTGCCGGCTTGATATTTTTTCCTTACTTTTTTGAGTGGCTCGGAATGGTCATATTTCTCTTCATTTTTGATGTTTGTGATTTTGCCGTAAGGAAAAATGGTGACTTATTTCTTCTTGCTATCATTCCCTATATTTCTGTTAATTCTGGATGCTCGCACAGACGAAGACGGACAGACAAAACACGGACGGACACAGATAGTCAAAACACGGACGGACACAGATAGTCAAAACACGGACGGACTCGGACAGACAACACACGGAGGAAACGGACAGACTCGGACAGTCAAAACACGGACGGACTCAGACAGTCATCGAAATTTAATATTTTTCTCTGTTTTTCCTTATAGCAAACATCACAAACATAAAAACTTGGGAAAAATACCCAGTAAAAAAAGTAAGGAAAAAATTTCAAGCCGGCACGATCTGCGTATAGAGCCAATATTTTTATATTTCTTTTCCTCAAAATTAGGGTTGTCAGTTTCACCAAATTCTTCGATTACCCCGAAACAGAACCGACAAACCGAACCGAAAATTTTCATTTTTCAGTTCAGTTTTAAAACCAACAACCCTAACAAGAAAATTCTCTTCCCTAAAATTTTTTTCAAAGGCTTGAGATGCCAAAAGCTTTTTGAAAAAATTATTGAAAATTTTTTAGAGCCGTTGGAGTACACAAAATAAATCACAAGTTTAATTATCTATTTTTACGCCCACACGGAAAAATATTTCCAAAAATTTGAAAAAAAATTTGAAAATTTTTTTTCAAATTTTCAAAAAAATATTCCAAAAAATCAAACAAAAAATCAAATCCCACCTCCACCCCTCCCTCTTCCAAAAAATTTTTCCCAAAAAATCTAAAAAAACCTTTTCCACTTACTTATATTCCATATCCATTTCCAATTTACAAATAGGCTTGTATTGTCGTGGATTTACATGACACAAAGCAACACAAGAATTTCTTTCTAGAGAAGCTACCAAATGACGAATTTTTGATTCAACCAAACCAGCAAAAATTAAATGGTCTTCTTCTCCTTCTGTGACGCATAGAAGGACAATAAAATGTTTGTAACGTGTAAAAAAGTTTATTTCTTCAAAAAGTTTTTCCCATGTAGCGTCACCTCTCGAAATTTCAATTATTGAGGAAAGACCTAAAATAAAAATATTTTTTTAATTTTTTTAAATTAAAAAAAAATCCTGAGTGCGACATAATACCAAACGCAAAAATACCAAACCCCAAAAAGCCGCCAAAATACCAAACTGGTTTTTTTCCAACAGCGAGGGGAAGACCTCCAATAGTTATCTATTTGGTATTTCGGCATCATTTCCCCTGTTCGGTATTTCGAAGGTTTTTTTTGGGGATTGGTATTTTGGCGTCTTATTGTTAATATTAAACGATCATATAATCAAAATCCTGCCAGAAAATCTATGAAAAATAAATGTATAAACCTTCTTTAAATTCATTAGTCATCACTTGACGTGTAGACCTTGTTACGTTAAATGTTGAATTTTGTTCAGGGAATGCAGGTGTTATAATTGGCATTAAATGGAAACGATCTGACATTCTTGTACGAGGATCCCATATCATATCTATATTAAAGAAAAAAATTTTTTTATTTAAAATGGTTGTCCGCAAAAATTTTGCTGACGTCCGCAAATCTATCAAATGCCCGCAAATATATTTTCACACTAACAGAATAATTCCTAACTGTGAAAATGCCTTGAAAAATTCCAATGGCTAAAAAATTCCTCTCTTTGATATTTCGTAAGAGAATTTTTCGATTTATTTTGATTTGCGGACCAAACTTGCGGACATACACAAAATTTCCAAAAAAATCATTAAAAAAATAAACCTGCAAAATACGGCATATCAGACCTCGGAGTAGCATCCGCATCTTTTAAAATAACCGGATGTGGCCATTCCCATTGAGAAAAAACCAAAAAGAATTTTTCCAATAAAACGGCAGGGGATGCATTTGGATATAATTGGCAAGTTCTAGCAACGAGGATTGCCCACGAAACGCCTCCAAGGAAGCCAAGAACGTTTGAATAAATGCCGTGATCTAACAAATTTTTTTAATTTTTTAAAATTAAAATAAAAAACCACATACTTTTAGCCCACAATTTGACTGCTCGAAGTGTTAAAATAAAATTAGAGTGGCTTGGGATTAACCTCAAAATTTCGTCTGCGACTCTACAACCTTTAAAAAAAAGAATTTTTTTAAAAAGAAAAACACAAAAATAGCAAAAGCGTAGCCAGAGAGTCGATTTAAGGGGGGCTAAAATTGGATGTGTGCCTAAAATTTAGTCGTTTGCCATGCCGTTCCTAACGTAATTTTTTGAACATATTTCTATTTTTTCAGTGCTGCAGGCAATCACCTCCTCAAATTTTTCCCTTTCCCCATTTCGGGAGGAGGGAGGGAGAAGCCCCCTGGCTATGCCCCTGCAAAATAAAAGACTCCACCCCAGAATATCACCACCCTAAATATCACCCCCCTAAATATCACCACCCAAAATATCACTTGACCCTAAATATCACCACCCAAAATATCAAATGACCCAAAATATCACCACGCAAAATACTATGCAAAAAACAACAACGTAAACCTATGGGGCATTGGCAAGGCGCTTGTGCAAAACCCCGCGCTTCGCGCGGGGTTTTGCGGCACGCGCCTCGCGGGGAGTCAACGGTCGCTGGGTTCTGGGCTCGTAACGTTAACCTATTCCTTTTAGTGATTCTCAGCCTTGTATGCCGGACCTATCCTCCGTAGCAACACCAAAACAGATATTCAGCAAAAATTCACTAGGTCATAATTTGGTTCAGAATCATCGAATAAAGCTGATTTTGGTGTCATTCGAGTTTAAGTTTTACATAAATATATCCTAATAGTTCGTATCGACGATATTTTGAGTGGTGATATTTTGGGTCATTTGATATTTTGGGTGGTGATATTTAGGGTCAAGTGATATTTTGGGTGGTGATATTTAGGGGGGTGATATTTAGGGTGGTGATATTCTGGGGCGATCCCAAATAAAAATATAAAAACCGTTTAAAGAACGAATGCTTTTTTCATCCAAATTTCTCAATAAATTATCGTCTGTCAATTGCTGCTCGTCTGTGACTTCTTTTAGTGCTAATCGAGCAAATAAGATATCTAATTCTATACCGCTATAATGCAGTTTGATTAGAGGGACAAAAGCATCCTCAACTTTGTGGAGATCTGAAGTATTTTCATCCTGAAAAATTTGGGAAATAAATTTAGAAATTTTAAAATTTTTAAAAATGTTTAGCAGAAACAAAAAAATGTTAGGAAAAAACAGTGAAAGGATTCGAACTTTCCTAGTAAACCTATCGGAACCTACACCCAACCCACTCAACCACAACCCAACTTAATCAAATTTTCATTTTCTCTTGCTATAATCACCATGAGAAAAGAAGAGGAAAATAATTGGAGACCCTATAAATGAAGGAAACTCGACCGCTCCAAAAGTCTGAAAACTTGAGCAGCTATAACTTTTCGATTTGGGAGTCAGGGCCAAAAAAGCCTAAAATTGGCAATAGATTATCGACCATGCCCTACATGATGGTATCATTTTATTTAAAAATTTCTGGTCACAGTTCGAGTGGTTCCCTTGTGAGTCCTAAACACAAATTTAATTTTAATTGACTCAGATAAGCAATTAGATATATATCATTATATCAACTCTTTTTTTAGAGTTTAAAATTCAAATCAAAGTGTAGATTTAAAACATCATTGTCAATTAAAATTTTCAACCTATTTTAAGGATTTTTTAGTTGTGGGGAGGAATATATTTCTAGTTTTCATATCTCGTCAGAAAAAAGCCAAAACTTTAAGACATTATTGTTAGTATCGATCAACCCTGCTCACAGTGCCATCTCTAACAGTACCGAAAATTTAAAAAATTCAGTTTCCTTCATTAAATAGAAAATACCAAAGATGACAAAATATCCCATTTCCTTAAAAACCCCAATTATTTAAAGCAAACCTCTTTCAATTTTTCATAAAATGAAGTAAAAAAGTCAGAACGATCAATATGTCTTGGAACAACACAAAGTGAGTCAATATCAGCTCCAGGGGTGTGCACACCAAGTCGATATGAACCAAAGGTAAACAATTTTCCGCCAACTGTTTCGAGTTGGTCTGGAGGGATCTGAAAACAAAAAAATGTCAAAAGCATGTTATAACTCCCCTTAAATCCATCCTGATTCCCAAGTAAAGTACTTAACCAGGAAAAGCGTCCAAAAAACATGGACGCTAACTCGGTTCTTCAATTCGGAACCAAACCGAAAATTTATCGGTTAGGCTTACAATTAGAATATCCGAACCTTAAAAGGGTCCGGCTACCCTTCTGGCGATTAAATGACTAACATCAACTTTTCATTCGAAAACTGGAATCTTGCCGAAATAAAACTTTCATCAGGTTTCAGAGAAATGTTAATCAGGTTTGAATGAGCTCCTATGTACTAGTCATTTAATCAAAAAGGTTGATAACCATAAGAGTTGGGGGTCACCAGAAAAACTTTCGCAAGAAAAAAGGCGCTAAACATAACTGGCAATACGTTTCGTTCCGTAATAGTGAAATAGGTTTCGTTTCCTGCCCTCTTTCCTCTTGACAATTACGAAACTAAACGTTTCGTGCAGATATGGTGGCAACAATCGGACCAGTCACCACAAATTACCCCTGAACTGTGCCCCCCCCCCCCCAAAAAATCAATAAAAATAAATTTCAAAAAAACCTTGTCTACAGAAACATTTTTCACCCATTTTTTAACCATTGTATTAATCTTCCTCAAAACTTCCAAACGTCTCTGCATATCCACATCTGTTTCATACAATCCACATTTTTTTAAATATTCTTCCAATTCTTTAGTTAAACGTAAATCTTTTTCTGTTGGTGTTTTTGTACATATTGGGGGAGATACTCCATATTGTGGGGTTATTGTTGGAACTGAAATTTGTTGTTGTTGTTGTAGATCATTACTACTACTCATTTTTAATTAGAAAAAAAAATAATTTTTGTAATCTAGAAAAAATTTAAAAAATAATTTAAAAAATAGGGGCACGCCCAATTAGGCGCGAGACCATAACGGCGCAAAGCCATAACTTGCTGGAAAATTTCTGACCCTTATTAATTTTGGTACCAATCTCTTCAGCTCGATGAGAGGAATCGTTTAATACTAAATTTGGAAAGATTCCGAAATCTTGAAGCAAGTTATGGTTTTGCGCCGTTATGGCCGCGCGCCGTTTGGGCTGTACCCCTGATAGTCTACCAAATTCTCCCTTATAGTCTCTCAATATTTTTTGTAGTTAAGTGGTTTACATCTTCCCTGCAAATAGGTAAATATTGAGAGGTTCGACTCTTTCTAATTCTTTTTCATTTTCAAATAACTAAAAAATTTGCGGATTAAAGTTGCGGACAAAAAAAAAGTCCGCAAGTTTTTTGCAGACAAAAAAAATTGTCCGCAAATTTTTTTGCGGACTTTTTTTAATATCCCTGGTTTTCCCCAAAAAATTTTCTGGAAAAAATTTTTTTAATTGCGGACAAATTTTGCGGACTTTTTTATGAGTCCGCAAATATTTAAACCTACAAAAAATTTTTTAAATTTTTAAAAATCAAAAATGTGTTTTTCTTCTAACAACATTCAAACAACAAAAAAAAAATTTTAAGTTCAAAAATAAATGTTTATCCAAAAAAAGAAAAAAAAATGTGTGTATATTTAAAATAGAAAGGGAAGAAGGGAAATTTCGCGGCTCATTTTTTAAACTAAAATATATTGTGGTCAATTGTTGAAAAACAAAATTTTTTTTTTGAAAATTAAAATATTTTTTTTAAATTCATAGGACAACCAAAAAAAGGAAGGGAAAGAGTGGCAGGGAACGAAGAAAAAAAAATTTTTTTTCGAATTTTTTTTTGAAATTTTTTTTTTTAATTTAAAGGAAAACTATATTTGAAAAAACCAAATAATGAATTTTAATTTATATGTATATTATTTGGGAGAGATTGAGAATTTTTTTAAATTTGCGGACAAATTTTTGCGGACTTTTCTTAAATAAATTGTTTTAAGCCGTCTTTTTCATATTTGCGGACTTTTTAAAATCCGCAAATATTATTTGCGGATGTCCGCAAATAATTACGAACTCAAAAAAAAGTCCGCAAATATTTGCGGATAGCCAGTAAACCATTACAGACAAATATTTGCGGACTTTATAAAATATCCGCAAATATTGTCCGCAAATTTATTTTGCTTTAAAAATCAAAAAATCACTTTCATCTCAATCTCTCGATAATAAAAGAAACCAGAAAAATATATAAATTGGTAGAGATGAGGATAGAGAGAAGGAAGAAAAAACAGAAAATTTGAAGAAAACGAAAAATATATTTATATAAAATTAAACAACAAGAGGGCACTTTCTTTTAAAAAATTAAATTTGTTATCCAAAAAATTAAAAAAAATTTTTTTTAATAATTTAAAGAAACGCCCTCAAAAAATTTTTTTGAAAATTAATTTTGATTAGATAGTTGATTTTTATTTTCATTTTTTTAAAAATCTTTTTCAAAAAAATTTCAAAAACTACAAAATTACCAACCAAATACCTTATCAAAATTAAACAAAAAAAATATATATTTAAAATGCTCATTAAAGAAGAAAAGGATTGTGGATGGCCATATTTAAGTTTAAAAAAAAACGAACAAAAATTCTATTCCTATTATTCTAATTGTAGGTTCCCTTGGATTCTAAACTAGCATTATGTTCACAGCCGGTTAACCGAAAACCCGGGGGTCACAGACACAGGCCAAATCGAAAAACTCCAAAGTACCGATCACTAGTGGATAAAACCGGTAGTGAACGACTCTCTAATTTAAAATAGAGCTCGGAACTTTTCTGTCTGTTGGTAATATATGTCTCACCGACAGACAGATAAGTTCCGAGCTCTAATTGCAACCCTATCCTAAACCCATTGATAAAATTAAAAAAATTATACTCTCATTTCCATCCATCGTCCATTTTTCCTCTTATTTCAAAGTGTCAATCAATCAATTTTTTATTGTGTGGACATTAAATATAGAGAGAAAAATGACACAAAAAATATATTAATTAGCGCGGCAAGCATCCGCCCTCTTCTCTAAATTTTTTTTAAAAAAACTTTTTCCTTCAATATCTTCCCATCCTCATTTTGTAGTCATCATTGTAACGAATTCTTTAAAAAAAAATTTTTTTTAAAAATTCCCTCAAAAAAATTCCAAAAAAACCTTCATAATTAACTTGTCCATCCCCATCAATATCTGCTTCCCTAATCATTTCATCCACTTCTTCATCAGTCAATTTCTCACCCAAATTGGTCATAACGTGGCGAAGTTCTGCAGCGGAAATGAAACCGTTGCCGTCTTTATCGAAGACCTTTTTTTAAAGATAAAAATTGTACTTTGACAGCTTTTAGAATAGCTAACAGCCTCTAGGAACCCCCCCCCTCTATGTATAAATAAGTGTTGGATTTGGACAAGAGGACATACTAGACAAATCCAAAAATAATATAAAATGGTACCCGTTCGCCTAAACCAATGTTCGTAGATCCAGTCAGGACAAAACCCCTAGATCTATTCAGGACAAAAAAACCCCCAACAGATTTGGCGAGCTTACGCAATAAAACCAGAAAAATCCCATTCAAGCAGCACTGGATTAAAATGACCTTTAGAAAACTGACAACCTTTAGGATGATAAACTAAGGAAATATTAGACTTCTCAAGGAGATATAAACAAAAATCCATAAAACATAGAAAATGGAGTCCGCTCGTCTAATCTTGTTCGTCTATCCAGTCATTACAAAACTAACAACGAGAGATTATGGGAAAACCCCTCCAAAATTACTCCCTTCTTAACCCATTGGTATTCTACTAACCCCCTAATAAAATTAAAAAGTTAAAAAAAATACTCTGAAAGCCTCTCGAATTTCCTCTTCGCTGTCTGTATCCTTCATCTTACGCGCCATCATTGTAAGGAATTCAGGAAAGTCAATTGTTCCGTTACCTAAAAATTAATTTATTTAAATTACTTCAAAATCAAAAAAATTCAACCATCAGCATCCACTTCATTAATCATATCTTGCAATTCGGCTTCTGTCGGATTTTGTCCAAGAGAGCGCATAACTGTCCCCAACTCTTTTGTGGTGATAGTACCATCGCCGTCCTTGTCGAATAATGAGAAAGCCTCCTTGAATTCTGTAAAAAATGAATTGATTAAGAAACCAAACTCTCCTCAACGTCTTAAAGGTAAAAATAGTGTTAGAATCAAGGCTCACTTTTTCCTTCCTTTAAAAAGGAAAATAAAGAAAAGGAAAAGATAGCTAGAGTAAAACCGGGTCAATTTTTGAACCAAAACTAATCCCGAGAAAATTTTCGAAAACCCGATCCGAAATCCTAACTAAATTGTTTCTCTACCCGTAAACCCAAACGAAACCATTACCTATGTAATTTTTAAAAAATTCCAAAATTCTTCATAAAAATCCAAAACTTTTTTTAATATTTTAATCCCTTAGAATTTAGTTTTATTGATTAACCTCCCAAATTTACTTCCCCATTTTAAATACCATGTGGTAAGAGTCATTTGTCGAAGTGTCTTTTCCCCTTTGGCCTTTTTTGATTTATTTTAAGTTCCAAAAGGAGAAAATTTTTTTAAATTATGGGGTTTGAAAAAGGGAAGCTTAATTTCTGAAATAGATGCCCGAAAAAGACCCCCGTACTAATCAAAGGACAAGAAAACTCGGCAAGTTTAAACCTGTTCCTTAGAAAAAGTCGGGTCAAGTCAAGTTTTCAAAGACTTCCTTCGGGACATGTTTAGGGTCGGAAAAAATCCCTAACCTGACCAATCCCTATTTATAAATGCTTGGAGGATAAACGAGATAATTTAAAAAACCCATGCCTAACCCCACGATTAATTCCTTCCACAAATCTGGACCTTAAAAAAAGTCGGGTCTAGTCTTCAAAGCTGTCTTCAGGACCAGACCTGGGCGAAACTCTAAATTTTTTTCGGACGAAACGAAACGAAACAAAAATTTTTAAAAAACGTTTCGTTAACAAAACGAAACGAAACAGTCAAAATTTAACGAAACGAAACGAAACAAAACGAAACATTTTAATTTCGAAAAAAATCTCAAAAATCTGGAGTATTTTATTAACTACACAATTTTAAGCATGTTAATTGGCCAATAATGACATATAAGTGATCGTAAAATTATGTGGACCATAAATTGTGGTCCCATTAGCCAATTTTTCTCTTAATCTCACCTAAATCTAGAGTTCAGCGGTATCGGGATTTATAGAAAAACCGGGATCTGGATTGTGTAATGGTGATACAGATCCCGGCACGAGATCGGGATTGGACGAAATTGTCGCATTACCGAATGACTAATTGACGACAAAACTTTTGGATTATTAAGTCCTTCCCTCAAAATATGCAAAAAGATTAATCTGCGAATACTCCCAGTACGGGCTCCAAAGATAATTAAAAATGGGGTCAACCCTGTACCCCTCATTAGCTCCGTTAATCCCACAGATGACTGATTAACCTTGCAAAGGGATAAAAGCAAAAATGGTGCTGATCAAAAATTTGTATGCCTTCAGGGTCAATAGGTCATCAGTATGTAGGTTTACGAGGGGGGTCCTTTCTCATCGCCGGGGTCCTTTCTCATTCTCATCGCAGACGAAAATTTTTAGAATTTTATAGGTCCTTAAGATAGATTTTTTCCATTTTCTGCGCCGCAGGCGAAAATTGTGAAAATTTTGAAGGACAAGAAGCCAGATTTCTTCTTTTTCAGCGCCGCAGGCAAAAATTTTTTGAATTTTCATCACCGATGGACAAATTTTTTCAGTTTCTGGGTTATATTTTGGTTTAAAAAATAGGTAATGTTTCGTTAACGAAACACAGGTGTTTCGTTAACAAAACGAAACGAAACAAATTAAAAAGTGTTTCGTCACGAAACGAGACGAAACAGGAAAAAACATAACGAAACTAACGAAACAACGAAACGAAACGAAACGTTTCGCCCACGTCTGTTCAGGACAGATTTCGCGTCCAAAAAAAAGTCGTAACCTGAACAATCCCTATTTATAAATGCTTGAAGGAGGACAAGAAAAATTTAAAATACCATGCCTAACCCTACAATTAATCCCCTCCATATCAAAAAATTTAAAAAAAATACCAGCAATTTGTTCTTCAGTCAATTGATCAGCCATTTTTTAAAAAAGTTTGTTGTTTTTCAATAAAAATAAGCCTAGGAATTAAAAACTTCTTGTTGTCTCTAAAATTGGTTGAAAGAGAATATAGAGAAATTTCTAGTCAATATTCCTCCTTTCTCTTCTTTACTTGTCAGAAAATGTGTCAGAGCAAAAAGCCTTGCGAGAATAAAAAAAAAGGAAGAAGGGGAAATGTGTGTGTATGTCTATTTAGTTGTGTTGTTTAAAAACGCTTTTTGGAAGCGAAAAAAGGAGAATGAATGGAAGACGAGAGAAAATAAATTATTTTTATATCAATCAGTTAAAGTCTCCCTTAACTGATTTGGTTGAATGTAGTTTAGGTAGAAGAACACACCAAAAATTGATAAATTTGTGTGTGTTGTCAGTCAAATTAAATTTAAAATAAACTTGACGCGTTTCGATTTTTTTCTGATACCGGATTTGTCAATTTATAGAGCTGAAATTAAAATTTGAAGTCAAATTAGTTTAAAAAAGAACAAAAAAACTAAGAAAAATCACAGAATTGATAATCAATCATTTAGAAATTAAAAAAAGAACTTAATTAAATGAAGAAAATAGAGAAATAAAAATGATAAGAGACCACTAGAAAACAAGAGACAATTTTAAAATTAGAGAAATAAACAAGTTTTTTATAAGCTCTCACATATTTTACCAAAACCACATTTTGCCAATAAGGCTAAAAATTTACGTTTTGTCAACACACCTTGTTGACAAAACATAAATTTTTATCCCTATTGGCATTATGTCGTGTTGGTAAAATGTGAAATCATTTTTAAAATATATAGAATGCCAAAAAATAAAAAAAGTAAGTATATTTGAATTAAAAATGGGTAAAAATGTCCTTTTAAACAAAAAAAAACAAAAACAATTTTACCAATCTAAAAAATTCCAAATTAAAATAAAGGAATGAAACAATCATTTAATGGGAATCTTTGTTGGAATTTAATAGAAAAATGAGGTCAAAAAAGAGGAGGAACAACAATTCCTTCGGGAGAAATGAGTATACGATTAAATGGGAAATTGGGAATGTGAGTAATCTTATTAGAAAAATTTTTTTGAGAAAAGGAGGGGAGGTAAAAACAAAGAAATGTGAATGTTTTGAAAGGAGAGATTAAAAAATGTTTTAGAATTTTTAATTAAGAAAAATTAAAAATTAGTGTTTGCGGACTGACTTTGCGGACAACAGAGTGTCGGACAAACAGAGTTGGGTGCGCCGTCTAACCAATTACCAACCAACTAGTAATTACAGATTGACATGCGGACAACTACCAAGAGAGTTGGTGTTTCTATATTATACAGGCGAATCTAATTATAAACCATTATAGGTAATTCCAAGGCTGGTCCCCCCCCCCTTTTTCTGTTCCCCTGACCATTTTGAACTTTTTTGCTTGGCATATAATTTTCAATATATCTTTCGAAAGAGCTGTTCGAGCTGAGTAGAATGATACTATGATCGGTTCGATTTGGAGATTCTGAACAGGATTATGAAGCTAAATCCTCGATGGACGTGCGTTTTGTGATGCTGAAAGAGATTAAAACAAATGCTCATAACTATGTTTATTTAAGTCGGATTTCAATGAATCTAGTACCATTCGACTCAGCTCGAAGAGCTCTTTCGAATGATATATAATTTATCATAAAAAGTTTAAAAAATCGAAAAAATAGAAAGGAAAAAAAAGGGGGGGGGGGACCAGCCTTGGAATTACCCCATTATACGATGGCTTAGGTTGTGTCCGCAATAAAAGTCCGCAAAATTTTTCCCTAAAAATTCAAAAATATCCCAAAAAACACTCCAACACCTTCCTTCCTCCCATTATGGGAGTCTTATATTTATTCTATTTTTAGAGCACCCAAAAAACAAACACATATTTTTATTTTCCAAGTCTGTCTACTTACCTAAATAAAATCCCCTATCCTTCCCACACTTCCCCTAATTATCATTTTATTGTTGTTTTTATTCAATAAAATGCATCATTCTCCCTCAAAAACAATTATATTTAATGCTTACGTATTTTTTAACGTCATTTCGAAAATATTTTTTTTTGCAAAAATCCTTAAAAATACGAATCCGTAAAAAAATCCGCAAATTTAATACGCAAAATTTTTTAATTTCTATATTCTTTGAGATATTTTAGAAGCTATTTTTATAACTCCCTAAAAAAGGTCTTCTCCTTCTATCAAGGATGTCAAGGGTTATCCGTGTATCTGATACTCGATCCGAATTCGTACCAGACTTTTTTCTCTGCACGTAATATCCCGTTACTTTTTACTTTAATAGAGATCAGAAGTCGGTCAGAAAACACGGAGGTGCCGTAAATCGGAACTCGGAAGTTGGAACTGTCGGAATTTGGAAATGGTTCAAAAGTCGGAACTTGGAAATCAGCCTAAATTTTCGAAAATCAGAATTCCGACCGACCTCTGAAAGAGAGATACAGTAGAACTAAAATAGAGTAAGGCCTCATTATACGATACATAAACCACAATTTATGTTCTCTTAAAGTTAAAGTTCTCTTAAAGTTAAAAATGCATGGCGCAAAATTATAAAAAATTTAAAAAAGGAGACAAAAAGAAAAGTAAATGGATTCGACGAAAAGTAAGATGGCTAAACTTTAAGCATTTTAAGTAGAGAATGCTTAAAGTTAAGTAGAGACTAAGGTTCGACCTTTCGAAGCGGGGCTGATATTACGGGGAACGGTGAATTCGAGACGGGGAACGGGGGGGGGGGGGGGAGACCTCCCCCCGTTCCCTGAAGAATTCTTCCCTTTCCCGTGGACGGGGGTCGAACCGTAGTAGAGACCGAACTGGAAGAGTCGTACGAGAAGCAAAATTAATATCTTGAAAAATATCGATTCTTGATAACCGAGATTTTTGTTCGATCGAGATCTCATCAAGTCCGGTCTTTTAAGTTTCTGAAACTTAAAGGTCCTCCCCCTCATCTTAAAATAGCCTCATTTAAATATCACCCCCCAAGGCGCGCCGAAATTTGCGGATTTTAATTTGCGGACCCGAAATTTGCGGACTCGAACTTTGCGGACACGAATTTTGCGGACCCGAACTATGCGGACCCGAATTTTGCGGATCTAAGATTAGCGGCCAAAAATTTGCGGACCGACAATAGAGTCTACTGAACCTCGGAAGTTTCAAAAATTTTAGCCTTCGGCGTTAATTAAGATGAATTCAGGCATCATACCTTATGAGATGGCCATATAAATGATTTCTTCAAGGAATTTTCTCGATTGTTTAAATTATGAAATAATGTTAAGATAAAAAATTGATAAAAATTTTGGAAAATCAAGAAAAAATTTTGAGTCTGGTACGGATCATGGTAAACTCGCCGGAATCATCGAAAAATAAAATTTTTAATTTTTTCCTTTTACTCAAGTGTCGGTCCAAAAATCCTGGTTCCGCAAAAATCAGGTCCGCAAACTTAGTGTCCGCAACCTTCGGGTCCGCAACTTTCGTTCCGCAAATTTCGAGTCCGCAAAGTTCGGGTCCGCAAAGTTCGCGCCACGCCCCCCAAAACAAACCAAAAAACTCAATAATCAACTCGTGAGCATTTTTTGTATTTACATAAACATTTTTCAATTGATGTTTACATACATTTTTGAGGTTGAAAAATAGGCAAAAAAAATATAAATATTAGATATACAAGAATGAAAGCATGGAAAGCTGCCTTTTTTCTCTTCAAATAAAAAAAAATGGCGGCTGACTGTTTTTGGCTTGCCTTGTTTGTGCTTGTTGGCAATCCGATATAGCTTTAGAAAAATGGAAGGGGAGAGAGGTTAGCTAGGTCCTCTACAGAGGTTAGCCTCCACAGGGGTAACTCCACAGACTCTCTCTCCATCCACAGACCCTTCACAGACTCTCCCTCTCTTAAAACCTTTATTTTTTTGCCCCTACTAAGGATAAAAAAAATTTTTTTTTCGAAATAAAGGTAGAGAAAATGCGCGCAAAAATAATATAGCTGTGGGAAAGCCTACGACTATTTTACTCTATAAAAGGCTTAAATTTAAAGCAAAAAAGCTTTCCAATGGATATATCTTTACTTTTAAGGCAAAACGCTCGCATACAACTATAGTCAGCTTATATTGACTGTCTCTAGCTTAAAGTATAGGGGACGGGGATAGAAGAGATAAAATACTTTAAGGCTTTTAAAGGACTTAGGCCAACAAAATTTTTTTTCCAAAGTATAACATCCTTGTTTGTCTATCTGTCGTAGTTTAAACAGAAAAAAAGGACATTTCGCCTAAAGTACAATTTGCCAGGAAGAAGAAAAGATTTAATTTCGTCACAAATTGAAAATTTCTCGGACTAAAAATTTTTTTCTAATTTTCAAAAATTTTTAAAAATTTTTAAAAATTTTTGAAAATATTTTCAGACAAAGACAAGACATTTATCCTTATCTAGAGGAAGAAAAAATCCTTTTCTCAAATAAAAATACAATTTTTACAAGGCTTCTCGTCATTGACGCTCTATCCTTAATAAATACTTTTTTTATTTTTCTCTAGCTGATGCCCTCAAAAGATAATCTTTTTTTTTAATTTTTAAGAGAAGGAAAAAAGTGCCTATTTTTTCTCTAATTTTTATTTTTCACCAAAAAATTCTGAGAAACTTTAAAAAAGCTGATTTTTGCCCTCTTAACATCAACGAAAAATCCAAAAAAAAATTTTTTTTTGCCCTTTTCCCCCTTATTTTTATTTTTCACCCGCCACAATTTTTTCTCCTCATAAATGCGCGAACCTCTCTCCTTTAATTCTCACCTTCCCTTTCCCCCAAAAAACCCATTAAAAATATATCACTTCTCGTCAACAGTTTAAGGGACATAAAAATATTTTTTTATTTTAATCTCTCTCACATATACTTGCGCAATAAACATTATAAAATTGAGAAAAAAATTAATGGGAAAAATATATTTAATAATTATTGCTAATTTATATTTTATTTATACGAGGAAAAGCATTTTTAAACAAAAATAAATTAAAGTTGGTCTGTGGTGTAGTTGGAAACGTTTAGGTTTTGGGTGGGCAAGGGATGAAGGTTCGAATCCGGTTGGTGGAAAATAATTTTTACGTTTTCCGGAAATAGAATTAAAGCATTTCTAAACACATCAGACGTTCCGGTTGTTTGTTGGTGTAGTGGGAAACGTCTAGGTTTGGGTTGGTAAGGGTGTTTAAAAGGTCGCGGGTTCGAATCCGGTTGGCGGCAAATAATTTTAATTTTTTTCTAAAATATGTAAAAAATGAAAAAATAATTTTGGGACTAAAAATAAATTTAAAATAATTTTTAAAAGCAAAAAGAGGGAATTTAAAGAAAAATCAAAAAATAATTATTGAACAATTCTCAAGATCGAGACATATGTATCAATCAATATCTAACCATCGTAGAAAATAAATATTAAAATCGAAAAAAATTTAAAAATAAAAAAGAGAAAAACCAGTCTATGTATCTATCAAAAATTATCTTTCATTTTAAAGATTTTTAAAAATAGTGAACAAAAAAAATAATTTTGTATCCAAAATTATCCAAAACCATTTAGCAGTCTTTTAAAAGATAAATAATTAAAAATAACCAACTAATCGACTATCTTTTTTAAGAATTAAAGGAATAAAAAGATTAAAATAAAATAATAATTTTATTCAACCAACTTATTTTCTTAAAAAAATTTTTTTTAATATTAAAAAAGAAAAATATATATAAAGGAGAAGAAAAGTCAGCCGATGGCTTTTGACAATTTTTAAAAGTAAAATGGAAAAAAATAAAAATTTATTGAGGAAAAGGTTAGTAGAGAGAGACAGCTAATAGAGAGAAAAGAAAGAGAGACAAGGAAAAGCTTTGAGAGAGACAAGGAAAAGCTGTCATCTGTCACAAAAGTGCGCAAACTCTAGCAAAAAGAGAGATTGTGTGTGTAAGTAATGATTGATTGTTTGAAGTGCCAGATGGTAAAAGAACGAGAATAAGAGTAACAAAATGTTAGTAAAAGGATAGCTAGTAAATAGGGAAGGTTTCGAAATATTAAATGACAGCCGGTAAGACAAAATGCCCATCATGTAAAAGGGTACAAAATGTCCATGAAGTAAAAAAGGGACAAAATGCCCATCATGTAAAAGGGTACAAAATGTCCATGAAGTAAAAAAGGGACAAAATGCCAATCACGAAGATTACATAATGGTAATAGAAAAAAGAGGGTAACAAACGATAATGAAGGAAGTTGGGACAAAATGCCCATGAAGTTAAATTGGACAAAATGCCAATAAGGTAAAATGGACAAAATAACAAAAAAGGAAAAATGGACAAGATGCCAATAAAGTAAAAGAGAACAAAATGGCAATGGAGAAAAAAGCGGACTAAATTAAAACAAAAAGGCAGCAACAAATCTGTCAATTTGTGCTTTTACATTTTGTCCTTAAACTCTAACAGCCTCTGACCAAGACACCCAAACAAAAAGAAAAGCGGCTTAACAAACACACACAAGTTGGCTAATCAATAAAAAAAAGCTGTTTTAAAGGCTTCCCCCTTTTTCTAAAAATGTTTTTTAATATCCCGTCTTGTTTCTATTTTAGTTGATTTAAACAATTCTTTAAAAAATCGTTTTAAGACACGTCTAAAAAGCCGATGGATGAGCGGGGGAGAGATGTGGAGGGGGGCTATCTGAGCGGCACCTTATCTCCTCGATCAATTACCCCTATAGCAAAAGGTTGAAAAAATAATTATCCCAGGGAAATCATGAAAATATCCCCCAATTTAAGGAACTCCCCACTATAAGAGGATAGAAACGTTCAGGTTATGAGCAGTTAAGGGTTGCGGGTTCGAACCCGGTTGGTGGTAGATAATTTTTAATTTTTATCCTGCCTCTATTTTAGTTATCATTTTATAAGGGTAAAAGACTTTGGACAACTTTCTATAATTTTTCTAGCCTTTACTAAAAATTGAGGTTCGACCATAAAAATATTTTTTAAAAAATAAAAATGAGAAAAATTAATTTTACAGAATTTTTGAATATTTTTTTAATACCTTTTTTTAATATTCATTTTTATTTATTATCCCCACAAAGTCTTTTCCCTCCCAAAAAAATTATATTTTTTCCTTTAATTTTCTCATTTTCTTTTTAATGTCTTCTCTAGGGAAATGAACACACACCGGGAAGGAAGGAAAAAATAATAAGAGTTTTCTGGAAAATTAGTTTTTTTGGACATTTTTCTAGTTTAAAAAGGCAGAAAAGTTTAAAAAAGAAAAAAATTAAAAAAATTTTTTAAGAAAAAGAAAAAATGTGTGTGAACAAAAAAGAACGGAAATTAAAGAAAAATTGGGGGAAATATTTTAAAAAATAGAAGGGGAAATGCTTTAGATATTGAAAAAATTGATTATTAGAAAATTTAATTTTATAAAAATCTAAAAATAGAAAAAATACTAAAGAAAAAAATTTTCAAAGAAAAAAATCGAAAATTTAAAGCGGCACCAGGAATTTTCTTGGCGTTCAGTCTTTAATACATATATCTATCTAAACAATAAGGCTTCTCAATTATACGTAAGTCGCTTTCATCCGTCTACTCTATTGGGTTCCCAGTAGTATGCTTTAACTTGATATGACACCCGAACACTTGGCTTGTATTTATACGTCGAGACTCAGTTCAGTTCAAAAAATTCAAATGAATATCTAGACAAGAAATAAAGAGATAGATTCCAAGATACAGTTCCAGATGAATGTATACCTTAGTATTGCATAGAATTTTTTGAGCAAAAAGGTTGAACGAATTAAAGTGAGGTCCAAAACTGTAAAATAAAAAAAATGAATTTTTAAAAATAAATATAAAGAATATTTAATAATAAAAACAAAAAAATGAAAGAATTAAAGACAAGTCTAATTACGTCAATGAAGCCTATTTTTTCTGTTTTGTTTGTTGTTGTCGTCCAAGTTTTTATTTTCTTTAAAAATATTATGGATGGATGACCATCTAACTAAAAATCGCTTTTTATTCGATTACCAGTCAGGTGTTAGAAAAACAACAACAAAAAAATTGACTAAAAATTACTAAAAGCTTGCTCCTTTTATCTGCAAAATAAAAGAAGCAAATATGAGGGGCAAAACACCGTCCGACAAAAACAACGCCCACAAATTGGAGTAAAAAATCCGTTAAACCTTACAGATTAAAAATTCGATTTTCTCCAATATTAGGTTATACTACCCATACCTAAGTCCCACCAATCTCTAGTAAAATGAAGCAAAAATTTTTTTAAAAATTTAAATGAAAAGATGAAGCATTTACCTATATATTTTAATTATTTATATAGGTAAAATGAACGGAAATAGGGGGAAAGATAATTAATAAATAGAATTTCTATTTTTAGAGTATCAAAAATAATTATTAAAAAAATAAAAGCAAAAAATCTGAAAAAAAAATTTCTAAAAAATAATAAAAAAATAGAAACAAAAATCAAAAATGGAAACAAAAAATAAAATAAAAAAATAAAATGCAAAATAAAGAGCTCTTAATATTAAACGAAAAAAAAATTTTTTTAAAGCAAAAAAATTTTTTTCCTTCAAAAAAAATTTTTTCCCCACCAAATAATCAAAGAGAAATGCAAGAAAATTTCGAGCAAAAAATTAAGCAAGTTCTTGTCTCTTAAAAATTTTTTTTACTAAAATAGGGAAATATAATAAAATTGAAAAATAAAATTAGAAAAATGAAGGACAGACCAAAAATAATATTTTTTCAAGTTTTTGCTCTAAAAAAAATAAAATTATTGAAAGAAGTGTTCTCGATAAATTTTTTGTTCTTCTCTTTTTGGGTGTGTTAAAGATATAAAAAATTTTTTTAAAGAAAAATATTTTTTTAAATGTTGCAGAAAAAATAGACTATTTTCAGAACAAAACACACAAAAAATTTTTCTAAGAAAACATAATAAAAAAATTATTTTAATGGACATCCGCTTAAAACAAATTAAAAAGAAACCAAATTTTAATTTAATAAACTAAGGCGTTTATAATTCAAGAAAAAAAGTGAGGCAGTAAAAACGAGAAAAAATATAACTTGACGAGAAAAAATTGAAAATTTGCGGACAAAAAACAAAACTTGCGGACAAAATTAAAATTTGCGGACAAAAAACAAAACTTGCGGACAATGCAAAATTTGCGGACAAAAAACAAAACTTGCGGACAAAATTAAAATTTGCGGACAAAAAACAAAACTTGCGGACAATGCAAAATTTGCGGACAAAAAACAAAACTTGCGGACAAAATTAAAATTTGCGGACAAAAAACAAAATTTGCGGACAATGCAAAATTTGCGGACAAAATTAGCGAACAAACATAAAACTTGCAGAAAAAATATTTAACGAATAACAAAAGAAATGAGCGGATAAATCCAAAGTTTTGCGTAAATATGCAAAAAATAAAGAATTAAGAGAATTAAATATTCCCTCTAAATAAATTTTGTAAACAAAACTAAAAGTTTACCCTTCTAAAAAAATTTTTCTCCCACAACTCCATTGTCCGCAAAAATATTTTTTTCTTAATTTTATATCGAAAAATGTCAACAGATGGTCCAGAAAAAAAAAATATTTTTTTCTGACTTATCAAGAGAAAAATAAACAAGAAAAAATTGAGAGGAGAAAAAATCTTAAAAAAGCACACACATACATAACGGTTGCCCAGCAGCAAAAAAAAAGGCAGAAAAAAAAATTTAAAAAATAAAGTAAAAATAGAGAAAAAAAAATTAAAAAATTGTGGGAAAGGATTTTGAAATGAAGAGGGGATTATCGCAATATATAAATATTTCTAAAAATGGCTAAAACTAAAAAATTAAAAAAGTTATCGAAAGCTTTTAAGCTCTTAAACAATCAAAATGAGAATATCAATTGAAATATTTTAAAAAAGAGAGTAGGGAGAAGAAAATATACAATGTTATTTAAGGAGTGTCTACGAAAGATAGAAAGAAATCAGAGAAAAACCTGGGACTAAATTTTCACGAATGGGGTCGGTTGAGTCCGACAGTTAAGCAATGGGCCGATGCCTAACAATAAGACGGGAGATTAAGACGGGGCCGTCTAGGGCAAGTCGGATGCAAAACAGAACCCGATTCTCAAAAAACTATTACCCGCTTATTAGAAGCCAATCGATTTAACATACACCCACTCCAAAAGCTTAAAGAAATCAAGGTAAACTATGGGCCCCTTAGGCACTCCACCTCCCACATTGACCTTAAAATGACGGAGCATGTAAAATCGATGTTTAATTAAAAACAAAAAAAATTTAAAAAAACCTATTCACATATCCATATGACTCAATAAAGTTGATTTAACAGAACACTCCTCCAATTTTAACGTCTTCTTGCTTTTGTTGGCTTCTCAAATTTCAGCTACTCAATAAACCTAAAATATTTTAAAAAGCATTAAAATATATTTCTTTCTATTTTAAAAATATTAAAAATAAAGTAATTGATATATAAAAATTATTTACTAGTTCATACAAACATTTTTATTCTATAAAATTAAAAAAAAATTTTTTTTGCGGACAAAATTTGCGGACAATCATAGAATTAAAAATTTCAGTTTTCTTGAATAAATTAAACAAAGGCAAGTGTATCTTTAAGTAAATGAGTGGAATATAAGGTTATATTAATTTATAATACCAAAAATGTCGAAATACCAAAAAAACGGTACTTGTGTAGTTTACCCCACATACGCCCCGCCCCTTAATCTTTCATCCTTTTCTTTCCAAAAAAACGGTACTCCTATAAAATGAAATTTAATCCATATTTTCATAGACATTTTTTATAAAGAAAAAGGAAAATAGAGCAGAGGGGCGGGGCTTATGGGGGGTAAACTACACAAGTACCCAAAAACCGTCGAAATGCCAAGAACTGTCAGCGGCTTTTGTTTGGTATTTCCGTGTTTGGTATTACAACAAGTTTCGGAATATAAAAATGAATAAAAAAACGGCCAGAATAAATGAGATTTTATAGGAGAGTATAAATTACTCGATTTTTAAAAATTTCCTGAAAAAAAATTTTTTTTGAAAAATTCCTGAAAAATCGAAAAAAAATTTTTTTTTTAATTTCCAAAAAAAATCGAGTAAAACAAAAAAAAATAGAACTTTTTTTTAATTTAAAAAAGAAATGACAAAAATTTAATAAATATTTTTGCACGTTTAAAAGAAAAGAAGAGAAAAAAAAAATAAAATTTTTGCGGACAAAACTTGCGGACAATAAATTGTAAAGTGAGTAGAAAAAAAGTATAGGTAAATATTTTGAGTGGAATTTTAAAGAGAGTAGTTTTCTGGTAATAATAAAGCGATTATTAAATTTATAATGCACACCAGGGGATAATACTAATACTATTTTAATAAAAAGCAAATTCTAAAAATTATCTAAAAATTTCAAAAAAAAAAATTTTCAGATATTTTTTTAATTTTTAGTGAATGCCTTTTTCTTCCCAATTTTTGATACTAGTAATTTGGAGTCTTCTCAGTTATGTTACCACAGTCCTCAATTTTTATACGCAAAATTCCAGTTTGGTATTTCGACGGGTTTTAGTGGTTTGGTATTAAGGGTTTTTGCCCAAACACTTCCCCATTTTTTCCTTTTCCCCATTTCGAGGGGGGGGGGGGAATTCGCCCATACCCCATGGTTACGGGCCTGGCTACACAAAATAATCAGTAATAGAAATATTCGACTTGCAATTAAAAATTGCGGACTAGGAACATAACTGAACACCTAAAAAAGTCTTAACAAAATTCATTTTCTTAAAATTCAACCTTCAACCATCCTTCTCCATTTTAATTCCTCTCTTAGCCCGCTTCCTACCAATCCCAGTTGTTGAAGTCGCAACAACTTTTTTCCTCTTTTGCGGAGTAATTTCACTACGTCGAGCTTTGCGTAAACGCTTGTGAGGGCTTGGAAGCGAAGTTGAAGAAGAGGGCAATGTTGATGTTGAAACTGTTGTTGGCTTCTGAAAAAAATGAGTAAAAATTATTTAAAGATGGAATATGAAAATCTCAAAATTTGGAATTTATGTCCTACCTTATGGTACCAACTAAGGTTGGCGGATCCGGATATCCGGATCCGAAAAAAGGCCGGATATCCGGAAATTTTCGGTTCGGATACCGGATATCCGGATCCGAAAAAAGGCCGGATATCCGGAAATTTTTCGGTTCGGATACCGGATCCGGAAATTTTCGGTTCGGATACCGGATCCGGATATCCGAAATTTTCGGATTGGATACCGGATCCGGATATCCGAAGATTTCCAGCTATCCGCCAAACTTAGTACCAACTAAAGATCGAGCTGGGTCTGGACCAACCCCTGGGTTTTTTCTGTACCCAGAGTCCAGTCCTAAGCATTTTTCGACCTTCCTGGGGTTTTTATGGTACAGGCCTATGATCCGGCGCAGGCAATAAATCAAACCCAGAACCAAGAAAAAGGCCCAGTCTTTTCAAAAATCTCGATCTATGGTACCCCAACCCTTAGGCAAAAATTGTGGAAGTGGAATGGCATAAGCGAAAAATTCACTTTCCCCATCATCCTTCTCTCAATATATGTAGAAGGATGGTGAGAGAGTGATCCAGCCCACGTCTTCTTGATGTTCTCTTGGTTAAAAATAGTTTTTTACGCGTTTCGGACTTCCACAAAATTCAAGGAAAAATATGAATTTTCAAATAATCCAATCCTTTAAAAATAAGGATGACAAAAAATCCCAACTTTAAATTTGAAGGACAATGGTTACTCTACCCCTCTCTAACATTAAAAATTTTATTTAAAAATTAAAAACCTCTTCTTCGTGTGCATCATTCAATTCACTAGTGGATGGAACACATTCTTCCGACTTTGAAGTAATTGTTGTTTTAACCACCATTTCATGTCCAATTTTCACATTTGATTGCTTGGTAACCTTTGCTGGATGAATAAATAATGAACGAGAAACTCCAGAAGCTCCAACAGTCTTTGCATGGTAAAATGAAGGGACCTAAAATTTTTTAAAAAATATTTTGAGTTGCAATTAGGGATGTCATGGGAAGAGAAAAAATAGACGGATTCGGGTTTCAAAAATTTCCCAAGGCGGGTTTCGAGTTCAAAAAGTCAGAGGTTCGTGATGAGGTTTTCGAACATTTACTTGGGATCGGTTCTGGGTCAAAAGTCAGGGTTTTGTTTAGGTCTTTAAAACTTTATTGGGTCGGGTCTCAAAACTAAAAGTCAAGGTTTCGTATTTCGGTTTTCGAAACATTTTTTGTACCGGTTCAGATCAGGAAAGGTCCGAGTTTCAGGTATTACGTAACCCGTGACATCCCCTTCCCTCCAAACTTTCCAAAAAATAAACCTTCTCCTCGTTCACCGCCTCGTAAACATGACTAGTCGACGTTTCATTAGTATCCAGAGGTTTGTCTTCCCGAAAATCAAAATTCCATTTTTTTACTTTTTCCTCCATATTTTTGTTTTCCAACTCTAAAAATTCATCAAAATAAATTTTAAAAAGTATTCCAAACAAAAATAACCTTTTAACCATTCGTCCGTCTCAGGCGCCCGTCCAGAACCGAACAAAGAACGGCGTGAACTTCGTTTTGCTAATCCATCCATTAAAGGCAAATAATGTTTAAAAGAATGTTAATAAGCTAAAAAAGAGATTAACGTAAAAAGACAAAAAAAGTATTGAAAAACGATGAATCATCCAATTTTTAGAAAATCAATAAATAAAGGGACAGCCCAGTTAGGCGCGCGGCCATAACGGCGCCAAGCCATAACTTGCTTAAAAATTTCCTAATCTTAACAAATTTAGTATTAAACGATTCCTCTCATTGAGCTAAAGAGATTGGTACCAAAATTGATATGGGTCAGAAAATTTTCAGCTAGTTATGGCTTTGCGCCGTTATGGTCTCGCGCCTAATTGGGTGTGTCCAATAAAAAAATAAAATTGGCATTATGTTTATTAAATTTAAATTTAAAATATAAACCAGACCTGGTCACGGATACTGATTTTTGTATCTGTATCCGGGTATTTACGGCGGATACAGACGGATACAGGCGGATATCCGCAGGCATTTTGGTATTATCTGTATCCATATCCGTATCCATGACCAGGTCTGATATGAACAGTATTTTTGTGAAAAAATTAAAAAAAAAACTAGAAAAGCTAGAAAAAAAAGAAATTTATGGGGTATAACAAATCGAAAATTTCCAAAAAACCTCCCCACTAGTCATTAGATTTCCAGAAACCTTAATTTACTATTAGATGACATTTGATCCCACAAAAAAATTTGGTGTAGTCTGAGGACACACAGGAGGAATGTCTCTTAGAAATCTTTTTCTGAGTCAGTCCGGAACTAATAGATTAACTATTTTACAAGAATCACTCACAGATATCTATACCCAAATATTTAGCTCTCAAACAGGGCTGGATCAAAAATTAGAAAATGATCGAAATTCAAGTTGAAAATCAAAACGAAAAATTTGTCAAAATTTCAATCCAGCACTGTCCTTTCAACTACATATATACATAATTACCGTATTTCTTCTAATAGTGAGACTGTCTCTAATAGACCGACCCTCTCTAATAAACCGACCCTCTAGAGGAAGGTTGAAAAATACCGACCGATCGCACTATTAGAATAAATACGGTATTCTTAATTATTTACAAATTTAAACCTCCAATATAGAAAAATAAATCTTCAAATCCTTCAATTTCTTTGATTTATTCCTTCCCTTCCTCCTCATCCTTTTCTTCAGGTATTGGAGTTATTGTGGTCAAATTATTTTTAGTTTGTTGTTCCCCTCCAATTACTTTAGATATAGCAGCAGCTATAGCCATACTTCCAGCTGCTGTTTTTATAAGTGAATTTTTTCCGTGCCCTGTTGTGGCTAGAAGAATGTCGGGGATGCCTTCCTTTAAATTGAAAAAATTTTCAAATTTCGCGATTTTTTCAAAATTTTTTTAGAAAATATTCGAAAATTTCTAGAGAATTTTTTGGAAAATTTTAAAAATTTCTTGATTTTTTCTAGAGAATTTTTGAAATTTTTTTGGAAAATTTTTGAAAAATTTTTAAAAAATTTCTGGAAAATTTTTTAAAAATTTTTCGAAAATTTTTAAAAAATTTTTCGAAAATTTTTAAAAAATTTTAAAAAATTTTTAAAAAATTTCTGGAAAATTTTTTAAAAATTTTTCGAAAATTTTTAAAAAATTTTAAAAAATTTTTGGAAAATTTCTGAAATTTTCTAAAAAAATTTCCCCTAAATTTCCTTTTAAAAATAAACCTCAAAATCTTCAATATCATCATTTTCTTCATCAGATATAGTTGTAGATGAATCAGCAGTTGCTATAGAACCCTTAGCTGTTGGATGGATTACTCCACTCTTCTTTTTCTTTTTTGTTCCTTTTTTGAGTTGTTCTACGATTTCGTGGATTTCACGGCCTAAAAAATTTTTTTTAAATTTTATTTTAATATGTGTCAATACCCTTTAATTTATCCCACCCTTCAGGACAGTTCCTAATCGGGATAATTTGGAGCTTTGGATACTTTGGAAGTACAGGATGTGTAAAGGATTATTATAAAAGGAGTTTAGCAAAAGTTTACCCACCGGGCAGGACATGCGACCTCCTCGTAGTTATTGCTAGGCGCTTTCACTCTCCGCTTATAGGAGCTCTACCGGTGAGCTACTAGAGCAACGACTAATGCTTTCTTATTTTCCTTTAGATAGTTTAACCCCCGCCAAAGTGTTTTAAATGCGCTAAGTGAATCATCCTTACATTATAGATGAGAAATCAGGGTACAAGAACGCTGTGATAATTGAAAGCTGGGAATAAATAAAAAAAGATGGGATAGGGAGTTTGACAGGAGATATGTCTTACAGTGAATTAAAGGTAGAAAATGGAGGTGGATAAGAGAAGGAAATTAAAATAAATTCAAAAAAACCTTTAGTTTCAGGCAATTCTTTAATCAGATAACAAATTGAAATAGTTGAGGGAACGATAAATCTTGAAGAAAAAAAATTTTTTAATTAAAAAAAATTAAAAAATATACAAGGGTATAAAAGACCAAACATCAATTATTTCCTGAATTTAAAAAATAAAAATTAAGAAAAAAAATTTAAAAGGCATACATATAAGGGTAAGGTGATGAAAGAGAAGACAAAATTGATAATCTAAAAAATAAAAAAAATATTTCAAAAAAAAATTTCAAAAAATTTTTCAAAAATTTTTTAGAATTTTTTTCGAGCCTAAAATTTTCAAAAATTTTCAAAAAATTTCCAAAAATTTTTTGAAATTTTTTCGAGCCTAAAAAAATTTCCAAAAATTTTTTAAAATTTTTTCGAGCCTAAAAAATTTCTAAAAAATTTCAAAAAATTTTTAGAATTTTTTCGCCTAAGAAATTTCAAAAAAATTTTGAAAATTTTCAAAAATTTTCAAAAAATTTTCAAAAATTTCAAAAAAAATTTTTTCGACCCTAAAAAATTTCCAAAAAAAATTCCCAAAAAAAACCGTGTTAGTCATAAAAACAATAGATTGCACAAGTGAACGAAATCTTTGGGGAACAAGTTCTGAAGTGATAAAAAATGCTATTGGGCCAAGAGCAGCTCCATAAGTAATTCCATAAGCTATTAAGGAGAAAACACAGCCGTATTTGAATTGGGGGTTGACGAAGAAAATTGATTCTTTAAATTATTTAAAAAATTTATTTTAAGGCCTAAAAATTTTTTTTTAAATTTCTAAAAATTTTCAAAATTTCAAAAAAAATTTTTTTTAACCCCCAAAAATTTTTAAAAATTTTCGAATTAAAAAATCCGCAAAAAAATTTTTTAAAAATTTTTTCGAGCACTTAAGTTTCCGGAAACTTAATAAAATAAGTGTAAACTTAAGTTTTCCGGAAAGATTAAATTAATGCTAACTCGAGTTTCCGGAAGTAAACAAAGTAAAATGTTCCCGGAAACATTTTGAGGATTTTCTTGGAAAATTTAAAAAAAAATATTTTTTTTTTGATTTTTCGAATTCAAAAAAATTTTTTAAAAATTTTTTTGAAATTTTTCCGAGCCTAAAAATTTTCAAAAAAAATTTCTAATTATTTTTTAAATTCAAAATAATTTAAATTAATTTACTTTGACTAGTCATTCTATCAAATAAAATATAAGAACATAAACACAATGTATTTGCAATCCCACACCATATTAACATTGGACGACGACCAAACCTTTTTTAAATTAAAGTTAAAAATAAATATAAAAATTATCTTAATTTAAGCCTAGTTAATTTCAACTTTAGTTAGTAGATTTCCGGAAACTAGAGAAAAAATATATTCCCAGAAACATTAAAATAGCGTAAACTTAAGTTTCCAGAAGTATAACAAGTTTCCAGAAATTTTAATACCTATTTACTGCTAAAATATGTTTCCGGAAAATAAAATAGTGTAGACTTAAGTTTCCGGAAACATTAATTAAAATAATAAAAACAAGTTTTCCGGAAGTAAAAATGTTTCCGGAAGCTTAATGAAATAAATAACAAACTTAAGTTTCCGGATAATTTAATATTTAATGTAAAAATACATAAGTTTCCGGAAACTTGAAAACTTAAGTTTTCCGGAAACACTAATAAAAATAATATAAACAAGCTTTCCGGAAGTAAAAATGTTTCCGGAAATTTATTAAATAAATAGTATAAACTTAAGTTTCCGGATAGTTTAATATTTAATGTGAAAATAAGCTTTCCGGAAAAATAAAAACTTAAGTTTCCATAATTTAATTAAAATAATTTATAACTTTTCAACACTACAAGTCCCAATAACTGAAGCAACAAAATTCGCGCAAATAAAAGCAAATGAGGAATACTGTAAAATAAATTTAAATTTAATTTATTTAAAAATAAATTAAAATTAACTTGACTAGCATTAGCATCAAAATGGGCTTCTAATAAATCTGTAGATATGTAAATTATTGGCCAAATACCAACTAAGATTGTTTAAAAATTAGGAAAAAAACAGGCTAAATTTACTTTAAAATTGAAAAAAATTTCGAAAATTTTTTTAAAAAATCTCAGAAATTCAAAAAAGTTTCCAAAGAAATTTCAAAAAATTTTCGGAAAAAAATTCAAAAATTTTTGGCTCTACTCCAGTTTATGCGTCCAATCGACTTTTATGCGTCCAATGAAAGTTTATGCGTCCAATAAAAAGAAAATTGGATTTTTCTTGGTATTGCAAAGTTGGGGTATGGTTCCACAACATTTCTTCATGTTCTGTCGAGAAATCGACAAAGAAAGGGGAAAAATAATAAAAATAAAAAATAAATAAAATTAAATTAAAAATTAAATTTTTTGTAAAAAATATAGAAATTTATATTTTTATCTTAAAATTAAATCTATAATAAATTTCTATATTGCCACACACATTTAAATAACCACTTTTTTAATCTAATAATTTTATCTCTTTAAATTTCTAATAATTTTTATGTTTATTCATTCATTCTGTTTTTTCCTTTCCAATTTTATATATATCGTCAATAACTTGTGGAATTAAATAAATAAATAAATAAATATTAAATTAATTGAGTTTTTTACTTGTTTGAGTTTAAAGTCTTCAAATTCGCCTAGTCTCAATCGACAAGCTCATAGTTGGATTCGTATCGACCCTCTTTTATTTATAGGCAGTTTCCCGACCTGTTTATCAATAAAAATGGTGCCACGACCCGGGACCGCCTAAAGTTCAGTCAACATCACCAAATCGGCAAAAAAATCTTTTTGCCTACTAAATCGTCTAAATAAAATTTTAAATCGTCAAATTTCTTGTTCTAAATCTTCTTACTTCTTTCAACCTTTCAAAAATGTCTCGAATACTTCGTCAGGAGCTCGGTGCAGCAGTCTCGTCACTTGTAGAACGTCTAAAAAATGCCGATTCATACATCGACAAAATCAAATCGAAACCCACAGCAGAGGAGGAGCAGGAACTCCTAATTTCAGTCGAGATGGAACTTGTACATCTCGCCCAGAGAACCGAGCAGCTTCAGACACTTATTCGTCACTACAATCAGTATATGGAAAGTTTAAGTGAAGCCAAGCAAGATGAGGAAGAAAAATTTCTGATCAACTATTTAACTTTCGACGAAAAATCTGACAAAAGCGAGTTTCCCAACCGCTGGCCAATTACTAGTTTGTTAAACCGAGCACAAGAGGCAATAAATCGGCTAAAAGCGTATCGAATTATGCGTCAAATGACGTCAGAAAATAATAGCGACAATTCACATAGAGCGGCAAGTGAGCAAGGATACGCCAACATCAACGAATCCCAGCGGACGCACATTATTCAGCCAAATCCAGAAAGGCGTCAGTTATATTCAGATGAAGAAGAAGAAAGGGAATGGTCACAACAGCGTCGAAACCTGAGACAAAATAGTGACCGCGACGTTTATGAACCACACGTACAATCCGTCTATACACCGTGGAATGCCCTTAAAGTTGATAGTGTTCGTCTACCTACATTTGGTGGCGATATCAGAGAGTGGAGAACCTTTTGGGCATCCTTTGAACATGCAGTAGATCGTCAACCATATCCTCTCTTCCAAAAACACCTTTTGCTACTACAGAACCTCAGAGAAGGATCGGCGGCGCGCGAAGCTATTAGCGGATACCCTCCGTCCGACACGAATTATAACATCGTCAAAGAGATTCTAAAAGATAAATATGGAAATGATGATCAGTTAAGCGACCAGTTAGAAGCGCAACTTCTAAAAATGACGCCTATTCGAAATAATCTTCGTGAATTATCGCAATTTCAGAAGGAGGTGGAACGAATTTGTTTACAATTGGAGAGTTTAGGTGGCCAAAATCAGCGTTTTTTGTGCAACATTATTAAGTCAAAACTCCCTCATGGAGTCCTCCAACAGCTCGTCACAGAAGAACTTCATTCTAAAAGAAAGTGGGACGATAAAGCGCTTCGAAAGGCTTTAATAGATATCGTCAAAATACGCCAAACGACGGAGGAATGTATGACTTCATTTCAAAGTGAACCAAGACGAGAGCAAATGCGGGACCAAGTTAATAGTTCAGGATCATACAGGACTGAAAGGATGCCAATACGACAAGATACGCGACAAACACCACGTCCAATAGAGCAAACCAGAGCCTTTCCTGTATTTAGCGCCAATAATCGAGATAACAATCAAAACTCGTTTTGTTCGCTTTGTTCCAACAATGGTCACAAACCAAGCCAGTGTCTAAAATATCCTACTCCTCAAGAACGGAAAGCACGGTTAGAAGAGCAAAAAAGATGTTTAAAATGCTTACTGCAGAGTCACTCGACGGAACAATGTCCACGGTCGTCCTCTTGCAGAAATTGTGGAAGTTTAGACCATCATTTCATTATTTGTTCTAAAGTTAATGCCCATCTCCAGCCAATTAATCAGTCTATACAAATTCGACAAACAAGAAATTTAAGGCAACCCGATCAAAACCCCCGTCAAAATTCATTTCAAAATCGACAAAATAACAATTTCAGACCAAAATTAACTGGTGCAAACGCGACGACACTAAACAATCACAAACCAGTAACGACCCTGAGTGTCATTAATGAAGAGTCTGAAGAAAAGGAGCAGGTAATAAATGAAGATGTCGACAATACGTCTAATTCGTCTAGTTCAGTTACATATTTTAATGCCGATCTAATAAAAAATGAGAATAAAACACATCTAATGACTCTAAACATCCAAGTCTCGTGTTTGGGAGGTCCTAAAGAAGGAATTCCGGCTATGGTTTTCTTTGATTCGGGCAGCCAAACCAGTTATATCACCAAAGAATTAGTTGAGCAACTTCAACCGCCAAAACTCTCGGAAGAGATGCTTCGTATACACACCTTCGCAAATCAAAATCCAAAAACAATACGATCACTTCTCGTCTCCGTCCAGTTAAAACGTCAAGATAATAAATGGGAGCCAATCCAATTGAATACAATTAACGAAATATCGTCTAAAATGGAGTCTTACCAATTTACAGGTAAACATGATCAAATAGAACCAGTTACAGGCACGCCTTCTATTCTAATCGGCATACGAGAATTTTGGAATTTTGTTACGGGTTTACGTCAAATCGGCCCTAAACTTTATAAGATACAAACAATATTTGGTGATGTGTTGGGTGGTGAATCGTGCCTTGGAAGGTCCAATTATTCCTCAACATTTATGTCTATTAACGGCAAAAAATCCGACTATAACAATGATATGGAGAATTTCTGGGCATTAGAAACTATTGGAATAAAAGAAAATCCTGAAGAAAAGGATGATGACACGGCTATGCGTCTATTTAAACAATCTATTCGTCAAAAACCGAATGGCACTTATACTGTACGTCTCCCATGGAGAGAGCCTCGACCAGTCATAAACTCAAATTGGGCAATGGCGTACAGTCGTCTTCAGGCTAATATCCGGCGTCTATCCTCCTCACCAGAACTTCTTCAGAAGTACGACAAAAATTTGCGAGATCAAGAATCCAAAGGCATAATAGAAGAAACTGGAAGAGACGAACAAGAATTTTTCATGCCACATCACGCCGTTATTAATCCTAAAAAATTGCGAATCGTCTTAGACGCGAGTGCACATCCAAAAGGAGCGTCAAGTCTAAATCAAGCGTTGTATCGCGGACCTGTGCTTCTACCTACGCTAGTTGGAATGTTAATTCGATGGAGAAGCTGCCTTATTCCCATCTTATCTGACGTCCAAGCCGCCTTCCATACAATCGAAAAGTTGCCTGAGGACCGTCAATTCTGCAAAATTCTTTGGCTCCGAGACGTCACTAAACCCATATCGTCAAATAATCTGGTCATCAAGAGATATACGAAAATGGTCTTTGGCGTAATTTCATCTCCTTTCGTGCTGGCTGCCGTACTTCTTCATCATTATGACAAATTTGATAGTGATTTAGCAAAAGAAATGGCAAAAAACACTTACGTCGATAACATCCTATTTCAGTGCCAAAACGAGGAAGAAGCCCTTGCAAAGATCAAAGAAGCTAAAGAAATATTCAAACAAGCGGCCATGAATTTGCGGGAATTTCTGAGTCATCGGCCCACAATTATGGAACAAATCCCGGAGGAAGATCGTCTAGATAAAGCAAAAGCACAGGTACTGGGAATAAAATGGGAGATATCTAACGACTCTTTAACACTCAAATTCCCAAAAGAAGACGACAGTGTCATCAGTCGTCGCTCAGTTCTCAGTGCGCTAGCGAGTATTTACGACCCTCTTGGACTTATTAACTCGTGCCTACTGTCGACAAAATTATTCTTTCAACGATTATGGGACGGCGATCGAACATGGGATCAGCCAGTTAATCTTGAGGAGCAGCAAGAATGGCAAAATATTCGTCAAACTTGGAAGGACCAAACCATCTCTATTCCTCGCCTAATCATACTTAATGAGTTTGAAGGGTGCCAAATTCACGTATTTAGTGATGCGTCGGAAAGTGCATATGCAACTTGCGTCTATTTACGTACGTCAAAAGATTTGTGTGTCAATTCATCGTTAATCTTCGCAAGGAATCGGCTGCGCCCAAAAAACGCTAAATCGAGTCTGACTGTTCCGAGAATGGAATTGCTTGGGGCTCTCATTGCCGTTCGAGCTAAAATTCACGTACAAAACGAACTTCATAGAAAAATCGACGCCGTCCATTTTTGGCTCGATTCTCGAATTGTTTTAGCCTGGATTCAATCAACAGACCCCAAACCTCAGTTTGAACAGCGCCGACTTACAGAAATTCGTAAAGGAGCAAACGGAATATTTCATTTTGTTAGGACAGACCAAAATTCGGCCGACATCGCCACTCGTGGATCAACGCCTTCTGAACTCCAAAATTCGTCTCTTTGGTGGAACGGTCCTCACTGGCTATCACGTCCAGAAAACGAATGGCCCGACGAACTAGCATTTTGCGTCAAAAGTCAAGACAATGAGAGTAATATAGACACCGTCAATACTAACACCTTCTCAAATAATAATAAAGAAACTAACCAACCTGAACCGCCAATAATTGATCCATCACGTTTTAGTTCAATTTTCACTCTTCTGAGGGTTATAATCTGGATTATGCGTTTTATTGGAAAATTGCGACCTAAAATTTTAAATACCAGTACGACAAATTTCTCACGAGTTGGACCTATCACAGTGGATGATTATAGAGCAGCTAGAATCTTTATTATCAAATTGGAGCAAAAACGTCTTTTAGAAAATTATTCGACACATCCAATGGCTATAAACCAAGATGGACTTTTATGTCTCAAAACACGCGTTACTATGGCCACTAGCTAAAATTGTGAAGTTAAATGGTTCGACAAATGAAATACGCAGTGTTGATCTTTTGACCGGGGATGGAAAAATTATAACTCGTCCAATCAGCAGATTATGCCCATTAGAAACAGAAATCGAGAAGTCGTCAAACGAACATACTAAAGAAACTAGAGAAACAGACAAAAAGAAAGAAAGTTTAATAGACACAACGAGTAACGCCAAAACAGCTCGCACACATAAAATGGTCTTGAGAAATCAAACCCACCCAATTAAAATTAACTCGACTACTACACTGATGTCACTCATGTTTTTAGTTTTATTTAGCCTTCCGGTATTAAGTACAAACACACTTTGGTATCGATGTGGACAATTCGACTATTCATGTCTTATCGGCCTTTCGTCAATTATTACCGCACTTTCCGTCTACAGATTCGAGTGTGAAAGTTGTGAATTGCAATGTTCAAATAGAGGTGTTGTCGTCAAATCGCCTATAGAAGTTCAAAAAACGGCAGTATGCTGCATGAACAACTGTATAGACCATTCCAATTTAAAAGAATACACATACGAAGTTGCCCATGAAATTCTTGTTAACGACTATACATGTGAAGCGTGGTTCTGGGCCAACTCTCAAAACAGCATCAGCAAGAAAATAGAATGTCCTGCAGTCAATGAATGTGATCTGTTTGATTGTTACTTTTGTCTCGAGCAGCTAGTTAATCCAACTTGTAATCCTAGATGGGCAGCCTTCTTACTACTCGTGTCAATTTTCATTTTGAGTAGCCTAGTTGGAATACTTCTAACAACAATCCGTTCTTTACATACTATCGTCTACACCTTAACTTTAATTTTGAAAATGCCATTTCAACTAATACGTTGGATACTCGGCAAAAAATGGACGAATATTGAAGTAAAACGACGACTACATCGCACTGAGTTAAATATTAGAGAAAGAATGAGAAATATAAACCGCCAAAGACGACAATTTCGATATCGTCTAGCAAATGTCATGTTGGGAGCGATGACAGGCATATTGATAGTAAGCCCCACATCGTCAGTCATATCGATAACTACTCAAACAGAAAGTTGTTTAAGAGGAACCAAAGGCCTTACATGTACTATCAACAGCGCAACCACACTTACTTTATTACCAGCCGGCCAGACTAATACGTTACTTTTGCGGGATGAGCATGGACTCACTTTGGGTACTCTAACAATGCGTCTATCATCTTTAAAAATGGCATGTCACCAGGAATCAATCGCGTGGTTACGTTCATACCGCGTTGAACCGACTGCTGTCAAAAGGTGCCCTCGAGCCGGCTCCTGCTTCAACGACCATTGCGAGAATGTTCGCCCAAATAGTTACGTCAAGGAACTACTAGTCGGCAGAGAATTACCTGGTAACACATTCTGTATTCCGTCAACGAGTTTTTGGGGCAACAGTTGTGGACTGCCTTCATCAGCTTGCCTCTACTACAGATATTTTGCGCGGCCAACAAGTTCAAATGTTTATGAAGTATTTACATGCCCAAGCTGGAGCCCAGAAATAGATGTGGAACTCACGATAGAAACCAACGGGGGGCGTCGTCAAATGAAATCTATCAAATTACACCCGGGCATCACATCGGCCTCGGGGAACATCTCCATTACGCCGTTGGCTATATCTCTTCCACCCATGCCCTTACTCGGGTCGACATTCGTCACTAACGGACAAGCCGTCTCAATCGTCAATCGTCTACCGATGGATTTACACTGTGGAACCGAAGAAGCAGCTCGATCTCTTAATTGTTCACTCGATTTAGAAGCGTGCAAGGAATGTTTCCCTAACCATAGTGACGGGACAGTGGAATGTAATTGCCGCGATGTAGACTTGGACGCGATGATGGAAATTCCGGAAACTCGACTTCCAATCACCAAGGCAAAAGTGTAGCTCGAGAATAATGGACCAACGATTTCAGCGACTTACGTATACGCACCTGTGCAAATACATCTCCAAATGAAAGGGTTAGCCCTCCACCTTCAATTACGCGACTCAAAGTGTTTTATTGAGGAGGCTCGACTTCATGGATGTTATCGTTGTGGAGTGGGGGCTCAGATAACCTATAAATGCCGCTCCGACTATGCAAATCCCTTAGCTACTGTCAAGTGTGACAAATGGCACAATTGGCAAAGAAACTATCCCCTTCGGCTATTCGGACGTCAATACTTTATGCACCGTTGATTGCCCTGCAGGATTGACAAAATTCGTCTTAAACGGCACTTTGTACTATATTCCTCTCAGAAAGCAATGGGGACATCAAATGTATCGTTCAGAACAAATCATCAACGAACCGGAGACACTCAGCTTTTGGCCAAGTTTAGGATTCGACATTTGGGTACTATCCAAACTTCTTCAAGGTGGACCAATATTTCTTGGCATAATATCGTCAATTGGACTTGCCTTAATCGCCGTCTATCTCTTTATGCGCCTATCGCCAATATTTCGAGTTTACCGACAAATAGCTAGAACAATCACCATCCTAGCAACCTTAGCGCGAGTTCAATCGTTAACGACAATAAAGTACGCATCCATCGACAAACCCGAACCGTTTTCGTCAAACCCGAACCAATTTGGATGGAATCTCCTTGGGATTGTCCTTGTGTCGACCAGTATTATAATTTTAACGCTTCGATTTATCTATTTACTTACGCCAAAGCCCTTTCGGCCCTTCTATAGACAAAAACGCCAAAAACATCCTGCGCCGATACTACCCGTCATTCCATTTATAATTATTGCACTTTCAGTGTGGCCGGCCGGATGTCCTTTCCAGGAAAAGAAAAAATTCCAACGACTAACTAGGCCACCCACATTTTGTACAAGTGAGCGACAAAACTATGATATCACCCTAATCACAGCAAAGAGAAAAATTCCAATCAACTATCAGTATGTTCAATCAGAATTCCATCACTTTTACGAAAATAAATTTAATTTCAACACGCCCACATTTTTAAATATAAATTCAACTGCAAAATCAATCATTATTAATTCATTTAAAATTTTTAATAAAATGTTTACTGGAGGTTTTGGTACCCCGCGTCGAACTAGAATGATACAGAGACAATTTCGCACCCCCTCTCAGTCCCCACCTAAAATATCGCAATTCAATACCGAGCGTCTAGATTTACACCTGGCTCGTATATATGGAGATAATTGGTTCCATACAATCGAAACCATCGACAAAATTAATGAATATTTGAGAAAAATGGAAATCCAGGACACTCACAATTGTACGACCATCGTTGAATGGGATTATATCACTTATCAGCCAGCGAAAAGTTTGTTAGTTCATCCAGGGGAGTCATTGGTATCTCATTGGTGTAAAAAAGGGCGCCCCATCAAAGAAGTGCACTTACCAGTATTGCGTCAAAGCGGGGGAATCATTGGAACGTCAAAATGTTCCCGACAAAAGCAGCGTTATGGGTTCATTCCTTGGCGCATGGGACAATTCCATCATACTTACTTTCCCCTTCAAAACTTGGAAGTGGTTCTCCACCGTCATCAATCCCCGAAAATTCAATCACCTGAACGTCCAATATCGCATAATCCCTCCCCTGAACGTTCATCTACGCCAATAAAAGAAATTTCCCCAATTAAGCTTAACATTTCGACTGCGCCAGATAAAGCTCTCGACAACTTGTTGCAGGCGAGAGATGCGTTGGATCGGGCGATTGCTCTCTTAAGTCAGCAGCCGTCGACTTCGCGCATCAATTAAATTTTTCCCACATTTATTCTTTTGTAAATATTCTTTCCTTGTTCATTCTTTTCTTCCATTCTTTATTCATAATATAATTTCATTACTTTACAGATTTTAAAAAAGTTCTCTATTAAATTTATTATGTCACGTCGAGCAACTATTAAAGCACCAGAGAGAGGAGAGTCGACTGCGACTTCCGAATCTTCCATTCCTAAATTAAGAAGCCTTGCTATTGTGGCACCAACCTTGCACAAACCGTTTTCAAATTGTTCCTACTACCCTGACCGTGACCGTCGATCCCCAATTCGTCATGACCGCCAACGCCGAACACCTCGTCGCACCATCCACCATCATCGTCGAACGCCACGCAGCCCTGAATACGCTTCCGCTTCTAAACACCATCGTCAGAAAACTCCAAAACCCCCACCGCCGCCGTCACGACCCCCATCTCCTTTGCCTCCACCACCTCCTCCACCCGAACTCCCCCCAATCAAATCACCAATTAAAATTGATGCCGAGCTTTGGACAGCCATCCCAGAAAAAACCAGGGCCATCATAAAACAATTGGAAAAGAATTTGCAGCAAGTGAACGCAAATATGATTGGCCTGGTAGCGATAAACACTTTAGAGGGTTTGGCGTCGAATCCAACAGCCCAGCAATACCTTGAACAGCTAGTCCAAAAAATTTCAGCATTACAACCTACCACTAAACAATTAGAAGAATTTCTCCCTCACCAGAAGGATGACGGCAACACGACTAAACTATTCAGGGAGGCGTTTGGCTTGAATTTGAAACTCAAGTCGGCTGGTGGCGGGAGTGTCGAGAAATCGACAAAGAAAGGGGAAAAATAATAAAAATAAAAAATAAATTAAATTAAAAATTAAATTTTTTGTAAAAAATATAGAAATTTATATTTTTATCTTAAAATTAAATCTATAATAAATTTCTATATTGCCACACACATTTAAATAACCACTTTTTTAATCTAATAATTTTATCTCTTTAAATTTCTAATAATTTTTATGTTTATTCATTCATTCTGTTTTTTCCTTTCCAATTTTATATATATCGTCAATAACTTGTGGAATTAAATAAATAAATATTAAATTAATTGAGTTTTTTACTTGTTTGAGTTTAAAGTCTTCAAATTCGCCTAGTCTCAATCGACAAGCTCATAGTTGGATTCGTATCGACCCTCTTTTATTTATAGGCAGTTTCCCGACCTGTTTATCAATATGTTCGGGACCTACACCCACTGGGTCTGGGACCATTCCTTACCCTATCCCTCGAAATTTTTTAAAGTTACAGCCAATTTTTTAAAATTTCAGAAAAACAATTATAACTTTCAGAAATTTCGAGGGGTCGGGTAAGGAACGGTCCCAGACCCAGTGGACGTAGGTCCCAAACATGAAGAAATGGTTTGGAGCCATACCCCAACTTTGCAATACCAAGAAAAATCCAGTTTTCTTTTTATTGGACGCATAAACTTTCATAGGACGCATAAAAGTCGATTGGACGCATAAACTGGAGTAGAGCCAATTTTTTTTTGAATTTTAGAAAATTTTCAAAAAATTTTCAAAAAATTTTCGAAAAATTTTTTTTAAATTTTCTGAAATTTTTAAAAAATTCCAACCCCTCATTAAAATTAAATTTAATAAATTCACCAATAATTTGTAAAGACAACGTCCCAATAATAAACGCTTTCCGTAAATGTGGTTGTTTTAATATTTGAATTAAAGCTTTAATTAAAGATATATTATGGTGTCCTCCCCCTTCCTTCCTTTTATGTCCACAAGTGTCAGCTTCTTTTAATATTTCATTTATAGCCATTTGGTGATTGTCTGGTTGTTTTCCTAGTAAATTTAAAAAATTTCCGGAAAACTTTAGATTATTAGGTATTTTTCCGGAAACTTAAGTTTGTTATTTCTTTTATTAAGTTTCCGGAAACATTTTTACTTCCGGAAATCTGGTTTCTATTATTTAAATTAGTGTTTCCGGAAACTTAATTTTTTAGGTTTTCCGGAAACTTAAGTTTATTAAGGTATTTTAAAAAATTTCCGGAAACAAGTTTCTTCCGGAAAACGTGTTTCTTTTATTTTAATTAGTGTTTCCGGAAATTTAAGTTTTTAAGTTTTCCGGAAACTTATTTTCTATAAAAATATTAAACTATCCGGAAACTTAAGTTTATACTATTTATTTTATTAGGTTTCCGGAAAACTTTTTTACTTCCGAAAAACGTGTTTCTATTATTATTTGTTTTTCCGGAAACTTAAGTTTATATTAGTAATTTTAATATATTTCCGGAAAACTTAAGTTTTTAAGTTTTCCGGAAACTTATTTATTATAAAAATATTAAACTATCCGGAAACTTAAGTTTATACATATTACTTATTTAATAAATTTCCGTAAACTTGTTTTTATTATTTTAATTAAAATTTCCGGAAACTAGAGTTTATTGGGTATTTTAATAAATTTCCGGAAAACTTATTTTTCCGGAAATTTATTCCTTTTTTCCGGGAACTTAAATTTATATTAATTTAATTAAGTTCCGGAAACTTAAGTTTCAAAGATTTTCTTTCATTATCTCAGCAACAAATTTTCTCCTTTTTTGGAGTTATTTAAAAATTAAAAATTCAATATATATTTTAAATAGTTGACAAAAAAAATTTTTTAACTCGAAATCTAACCTTGATAAAATTCCAAAGACTTAATTGCCGCTTTTCTATCATTTCGATTTAATAATAAAAATTTTGGAGATTCACTTAGCGGGAGAACAATGAAAATAGACAAAATGCCAGGAATGGCTCCAAAACCTAAAAATAAAAAATTTTTCAAAAAAATAAAATTTTTCAAAAATTTTAAAATTTTTTTTTTAAAAAATTCAAAAAAATACCAACAAGAGCCAACAAATTTCTCCCCAACATTAAATCCATTCCCATACCCATTCCAATTACACTAACAGCAATGTAGGAAACTTTGGAAATACTTTTAAAATTTGATTCAATTTTAAAATAAACCTTCACTCAAAAAGCTACATGTTCCTCTCAATTGTGTTGGTGTTGTTTCCTTAAAAAACATCACGTACGCATTTATCATATATAACAGGTCCCGCCTAGTAAGGGTCTTAAATATTCGTCGACAGGGGGGTCAACCCAAAAGACTTACACCCAGAAGACCTCTCCCAAAAGACCTACTGGCACAAAAGACCTAAAACTTTTGAAAGGGAATATCTAAAGATTTGGAGGGATTAAGGGAATATCGATTGCTTTAGTTGATTGAAGGGGATAGAGATCTCTATAGAGAATCTCTATAAAATACAGATCGGCTACTTATCTTCGTAGAGCTGGATATTTATCCTCCATAACCCCTCTAAATCCCTTGATGAATCCCTCGATTTCTCGTTTTTTAAAAAATTTACTTGAATAAAAAGAATTAGAGACCCAAAAGAAAGCCCAGAGCCGACAGCAGCAAAAATTCTACCAAAAATTAACAGTTCGGGAATTTCCAGAAAAATGGCTAAAAACATCCAATTAAATTAAAAAATAAAATTAAATAACCAGCTATAGTAATTAAAGTTCCAAGTAAAGAAATACAATTGGCTAGACATAGACTGTCTGGAAAAGTACAAAAAATATAAATTTTAAAAATTATTTTTTGCCATTACAATGTACTTTCTTTTCGATGAGAAAGGGAAAAAAATTTTATTATGAAATATGAACTTAATTTTACTTTAAGATTTTATCATTTTTGGCTACTTAGTAGTAAACAAAATTAATAATTTTAAACTAAAATTTTTAAATTAAATTTTTTAAAATTAAATTTAAAATTTATTTTATGATGAAACTTGATAGTCTATTAATAATTTTAATCTTCAACGCGATATTTTGGAGTTTAATTAATTCTGTTAAAAATAATAAAGATAAAAATGAGTTAACTAGAGTTGGGGAAACCTCAAAGGATAACGAGGAGGCTGAATCATCGGTTAATGCTCAGATTCAAATGTTAAAACCAAAACCTAAAATTACAAAAAAGGGCACAACAAATGATAAAAAAGAAGAAAAAAGGTTGAATCAAAGGGAATATATGAGAATGTGGCGTCAAAACAACAAAGAAAAGACGACAGAATATTTTCAAGAATACCGCTCAAACAATAAAGAAAAAATACTAGAATATTTTCGAGAATATCGTGAAAATAATAAAGAAAAACTGACAGAATCTGGTCGAAACTACTACAGAAATAATAAAGAAAAGAAGCGAGAAGCTAATCGAAAATACCGAGAAAATAATAAGGAAAAATTGAAAGAATACCATCAAAATAACAAAGAAAAGAAGCGAGAAGCTAATCGAAAATACCGAGAAAATAATAAGGAAAAATTGAAAGAATACCATCAAAATAACAAAGAAAAGAAGCGAGAAGCTAATCAAAAATACCGAGAAAAAAGGAAAAATAAAAAAGCAAATTTACAAAATGTTGATCCAATAGTAGGAAATGTTCATTCCGATAATGGAGGAGGAAATGATTCTCAAGAAGAAAATCTTTCTGATCAAGGGGAGGAAGAAGGGGACAAAGACGAAACAGAAACTTATATGGATGAACAAAATCAGACTGTGGTAGAAGAGCCAAACAAAATTCATGAGAATTGCACGAATCAGATAGATTTGAATGAGAAATATTATCCTTTTGATTTGAACGAGAAACCTGAAAACGAAGATGTTATTAAAGACTAATTTTATAATAAAGAAAAGATTTAAAATATTCAGAACAAATTAAAGAGATGTAAAATTTAATAAATTTGTAGTAAATAAAATTTATTCAAAGTTCAAATCGCCATATCATTCAATAGAGCAAGCAAAACTAAATATAGTAAATCTCCTAATTTAAGCCTTTCCGTACCTTTTGGAAAGCTGAAATATTTTTCCGGTTTTAGATGAGTTTGGTTCGTTATTAATTTGTGTATTTTCGTTATTATTTTGTTCGTTATTATTTTATTATACTGTGGAGCGGCATGATTTTAACACAATCCGAATGTGCGGTATAAAGTTAAATTAACAACGGCCGGAATAAGATGAAAGCGGCAAATATTTCATCCATTTGTTTGAGAATTGTAGTGTGTGTGACTTATATACTTGTTAATTATGCCTTTAACATTTTTACTTCTCTATCTGGAATCTCTTGATAACGATTTAAGTTGTCCTTTATTTTTAAAAAAATACTATTACAAAAATCATTCTCTCAACACGTCACCAATTATCCAAGTCTGGGGTAAAACTCCTCCATCGTTGTTTTTACGTTTTATAAAAAGCATCTCATCTATTTCAACAATAGTATCATCTCCTCCTTAAAAAATTACAGAAGTAGGCTAAGCGCATACGAATAAAACGCATACGAATAAAAGTAATTTACAAACCAAAAAAAATTGAAACGGACTTTCCTCTGAATGGGAAAATATGTGTATTGTATTATGAAAAAAATTTTTTTCACATGTCTATTACAAGAATAAAAAATTAAGTTGAAAAAAATTCTCTCAAAGAGCAATCTCTCAAAGTATAAGAGATTTTTTTCGTAATTTTTACTTTTTATTTTCGTAATTCGGAATTTTTTCCGGTATCTTCGTAACCATAATTCGTAACCCAAAAAACGCCGTAATTCGTAATTACGATGGAACTCGCACGAAATATTTATTATGGACCACAGATTTTTTCTCGTAATGCACTTTATTTTTGCTGGGAAAATCATTTTTAATTACGAAACATACATAAATATGTCTACTATTTGCACTTATGTATATTATTTAAATTCAATTATAAATTAAAATTTGTAATTTTTGGTTAATAAAATAATTTAATAATAAAAGTTTTAAATTTAGGATGAAACTTATTAGTATTTTAATGATTATTATATTAAATGCGATATTATGGAATCTGATTGATTCCGTCAAAAATAATAAGGATAAAAACAAGTTGACCCATGTTGAGGAAACCTCAAAGGATTTAGCTAATGATACGATGTTTAACGATAGGGTAGAATCATCGGCGGATCTACAAATTCAAAAATATAAAGAAGTGTTAAAAATAAAATCTAAAATTACAAAGGAGACAACTATAGGTATCGAAGAAAAAAAGCTTAAGAAAAATGAGAATATGAAAAGTAACTGGGAAAATAAAAAGGAAAAGAAGCGAGAAAGGGACCGAAAATATTATCAAAAAAATAAGGAAAAGAAGCGAGAAAGAGACCGAAAATACCGTCAAAATAATAAAGAAAAGAGGCGAGAAATTGACCGAAAATACTACCAAAATAACAAAGAAAAGAAGCGAGAATGGGACCGAAAAACCGTGAAAAAAGGAAAAATAAAAAGGCAGATTTACAAGGTGTTCATTCTGATAATGGGAAAACTTCTTTTGTTAATACACAGAATGTCGATTTTGGAAATAAAGGTAAATTGCCAATCGTTTACGAAGATAGCATTCAGCATGACGAAGAAAATCTTTCTAATCAAGAGGAAAGACAATGTAACAAAGACGAAACTGTAAACTATGTGGATGAGCAAAATCAACCTGTAGTAGAAGAGCCAAACAGAATTCCTGAGAATTGCATGAAACAGATAGATTTGAATGAGAAATATTATCCGTTTGATCTGAACGAGGAACTTGAGAACGAAGATATTTTTTAAAAGGACCAATTTTATGATAAAGAAAAGCTGTTAAAATATTCACAATAAATTAAAAAAATGTAAAATTTAATAAATTTGTAGTAAATAAAATCGTTTTCCAATTCTAAACCGCAATATCATTTAACTGAGCCAGCAAAGCCAAATATATTAAATCTCTAATAGAAGCCTATCCGGTACTTTTTGGATGTGCCGCCCTCATCCATAGTTTGAGGCTCATTTATTTGTTCTTCATGCCAATCATTTACCTCAAGAAATGTATAAGTAGAATTTCATTGCTTACCCAAATATAATCAAAAATCTATTATGTTTTAAGATGTCTTAGGACTAACAGTATTTTCCCGGCAGTTTTCTACTCTCGGTCGGGAATGATTCTACAACGGTTCACATCTCTTATTCTTTGTTAGAGAATTTGAGACCACATTTGTGGAAAACTTTGGGAAAACCAGAAAAAGATGTGTATAAAGGGCAAATAAACAAAAAACAGACAGATTTAAAAAAAAAAACAACAACAGATTTTTTCTCGTAATGCACTTTATTTTCGCTGGGAAAATTATATTTTATTACGAAACATAAATATGTTTACTATTTTCACCTATGTAGTATTTAAATTTTTTTCCTCCATTAAAATTTATAATTTTTGGTTAATAAAATATTTTTAATAAATTTTTAAAATTAATTTACGATGAAATTTATTAGAATTTTAATAATTTTAATCGTTAATGCGATATTTTGGAGTTCAATTAATTCTGTTAAGAATAATAAAGATAAAAAGGAGTTGACTAGAGTTGAGGAAATCTCTAAGGATTTAACTAATAATAAGGTGTTTAACGATGGGTTAAAATCATCGATCGATCCCCAAATTCAACTGTTAAAACCAAAATCTAAAATTGCGAATAAGGGCATAACTATAAGTAACGAAGAAAAAAAGTTTGAGAAAAATGAGTATATGAAAAGTTACTGGCGAAAAAATAAGGAAAAAAGGCGAGAATTTGATAGAAAATACTACCAAAAAAATAAGGAGAAGAAGCGAGAATATGATCGAAAATACCGTCAAAATAATAAAGAAAAGAAGCGAGAAAGGGAACGAAAATACTACCAAAATAACAAAGAAAAGAAGCTAGAAAGGGACCGAAAATACCGAGAAAGAGGAAAAAATAAACTAGCAAGTCTGCAAAATGTTCATTCTGATAATGGAGAAACTTCCTTAGCTAATAAACAGAATGATAAATTTGGAAATAAAGGTAAATTGCCAATCGTTTATGAAGAGAACATTCATCAAGAAGAAGAAAATCGTTCTAATCAAGAAGAGAAAGAATGTAACAAAGACGAGACTGAAACTAATGTGGATGAGCAAAATCAAACTGTGGTAGAAGAACCAAATAAAATTCCCGAGAATTGCATGAATCAGATAGATTTGAATGAATATCCGTTTGATTTTAACGAGGAACCTGAGGATGAAGACAAAGACAAAGCTTATATGGATGAGCAAAACGAAACTGTGGTAGAAAAGCTAAATAAAATTCCTGAGAATTACATGAATCAGATAGATTTGAATGAGAAATATTATCCGTTTGATCTGAACGAGAAGCCTGAGAACGAAGATGAGGATGTGTGTTAAAAAGACTAATTTTATAATAAAGAAAAGACAACGTTTGTTAAAAAGAAATAAATTTGAAGAAAGAAATAATGTTAAAATTAAAGAATTTTAAAACTTTAGACAACTTTGTATAAAATTTCGAGTACTGATCAGAAATTTTTTTTCTTTGCCCTAAGATGCGGTGTGTCTAATTTGCCAAGTATTTTTCGACCATCGGCTTGGAATGAGTAATTTTTAATTCCTCCATCATGTTTTTACTGATCTATTCGAATCATTGATTAACGAATTAAGCTAGTCAAACATATATTGTTGCAAAAATCATTTACTCGAAAACTTTCACCAAATATCCAAGTCTGGCGTAAAACTCTCACTGTGTTGTCGACTCATCTATTTCAACAATAGTAATATTCTTCCTTAAACAGTTCCTCAAATATTTCTTCCAGTGTTAACGACTATTTATTTTCAATTTGCGTTCAAAAGAAACAATAGAAGACATCCTGTAAATTCTGCCAGACGAAACAAACAATGGTTACATGGCGAAATCCAACTGCTTTTGGATGGGTTTTGCTTCTTGCCTTATTTGAATTTTTTAAATTTTTTATATGTGTATGTAGTGTGGTTAATGTGTTTAATGTCTAACACTTTATTAATATAACCCTTCATTACTAAAAAAGAGATTATTTTCTGTTAAAAAGATTTTTTGGTAGATATATTCTGTTTAGAATGCTCATGTTAGTAAGAGTTTTTAGGGAAACAAGAAAGAGTTGTCTACATATAAAAGTACAAACAAACAAAAACAGACAGATTTCAAAAAACACCACATGTTTTTTCCCCGTAATGTACTTTAATTTCCGTGAGAAAATTATATTTTATTATGAAACATACAGATATTTGCACTTATGTATTATTTAAATTCGATTCTACATTAAAATGTGTAATTTTTATTTAATAATAAAATTAATAGTTTAATAATAAAATTTTTAAATTTAGGATGAAAATTATTAATATTTTAATAATTATTATCTTGAATGCGATATTTTGGAGTTTAATTAATTCTGTTAAAAATAATAAAGAGAAAAAGGAGTTGACTAGAGTTGAGGAGACTTCAAAGAATTCTACCCCATTTAATGATGGGGTAGAATCATCGGCGGATCCTCAAATTAAAGAATATGAAAAAACGGTAAAACCGAAATCCAAAATTGCAAAGGGCACAACTATAGGTATCGAAGGAAAAAAGTTTAAGAAAAATGAGAATATAAAAGATTACTTTCAAAATAAAAAGGAAAAAAAGCGAGAATATGATCGAGAATACTACCAAAATAATAAAGAAAAGAGGAAAGAAACTGAACGAAAATACTACCAAAAAAATAGAGAAAAGAAGCGAGAAAGGAACCAAAAATACTACCAAAATAACAAAGAAAAGAAGCGAGAAAGGCAACGAAAATACCGAGAAAGAAGGAAAAATAAAAAGGCAGATTTACAAAATGATCATTCTGATAATGGGGAAACTTCTTTTGTTAATACACAGAATGTCGATTTTGGAAATAAAGGTAAATTGCCAATCGTTTATGAAGAGAACATTCGGTCTGAAGAAGAAAATCATTTTAACCAAGAGGAGGAAGAATGTAACAAAGACGAAACTGAAAACTATGTGGAAGAGCAGAATCAATCTGTGGTAGAAGAGGCAAAGATGAATCAGATAGATTTGAATGAGAAATATTATCAGTTTGATCTGAACGAGGAACCTGAGGACATAGATGAAGATGTTTGCTAAAAAGAAATAAATTTGAAGAAAGAAATAATGTTAAAATTAAAGAATTGTAAAACTTTAGACAACTTTGTATAAAATTTCGAGTACTGATCAGAAATTAAATTTTCTTTTATGCCCTAAGAGCGGTATGTCTAATTTGCCAAACATTTCTCGACCATCGGCCTGGAATGAGTAGGCTGTGGCCGACATTTCTTTCATTTGTTTTAGATAGTTGCAGTGTGCGTGACTTAAATAATTTTTAATTGCTCCATCATGTTTTTGCTTATCTATCCGAACCAATGATTAACGAATTAAGCTAGGCGCTTTCGAAAACAAAATCATTTACTCGACACTATTAACTAACTACACAAGTCTGGGGTAAAACCCCACAATGATTTTTCCTGTGTTTTGTGACAGGTAAGTGGTTGAAATGAGAATACAAACCTTTATTAACACAAAACAGGATTATTCTATGCTAAAACGATTTTTCGGTAGCATATATTTTGGGTTCCAGAAAGCGATAATGCTTTCGTGGACCTTCACCCTGACTTATAAAGTCAAGGTAAAGGTCCACGAAAGCATTGGCGTGGTTTACGTATTTTATATTGGAGGGGGGGGGGGGGGGGCATGCGGACATGTCCTTAGAAAAAACAGAAAAGAGACTTGTCTATAAAAGTGCAAACACACAAACAGAGATGATTTGATCTTTTCTGGGTTATTATCCTCTTCCCAGGCTTAATCATCTGAACAAAAAAATTTCCCAATTACTTTCCTTTCATCGACAAAATTATATTTTATTAAGAAATATATATTTTTACTTATGTATTATTTAATTCTTTAACATTAAAATTTATGGCGTAGTGACAGAAGACCCACAGACAGAAGACCCAAGGACAGAAGAACCACAGACAAAAGACCCACAGACAGAAGACCCACAAGGACAGAATACCCACAGACAAAAGACCCACAAGAAAATTTTTTTAACTAAAACTGTAAAAGAAATTTTTTGAAATTACTGAAAAAGATTACCAATTTCTCAAGGCACAAAATATAAATTTTAAAATATAAAAAAATTTATTATAAAGATCATTTAATTAGAAAGTGATTTGAAAAGTCGGGTGATTAATTGGGATATGTAGGAATATCGTGGGATATAGAGAATATAGGGGTAAAATCTCGAATCTACAGATAACTATTCTTATCCGTGAATTGTGTATAACTGAAACTAGGAGAAGGAAATTAACAGCAAATCGGGTATGTCTAGGAATTACAAGGGATGTAAACTTTTAAGCTTTTACCACTAATCCGCTTTTATCCACCGATATCCCTCCATGTTACTAAGAAATATATGTAATTTCTACTATCCCAAAGATCCCCTTATCCTTGCATATCTCCAATTCCCTTGATCGCTTCTAATCCTTCTATATCCCTCTATGTGGACTTAACTGACATTCGCTATAATCCAGTTAATCCTAAATACCCCTTGCTTCTAAATACCCCTTTGATCTACCTTTCCCTTTCACCGTCACAGACAAGAATTTTGGAAATTTTGAAAGGCCAAGAAGCCAGTTTTCTACCTTTTTAGCGACACAGATGCGAATTCTAATAATTTTGGAAGGCCAATTAGCTATTTTTATACTTTATTATATCTAAACCTGATCGGATCCAGATTTTTTGACACGACATGGACCGGATTTTCGGATAAAAATCCTGATAATCTGGGAAAGCAAGATCCCTCTTCGTTAAACAACCTCTCCGGTAATTTGACAAAATTCTCATCATTGGAACAACTTCACCTTTGTTGCAACATTCCCTATTGTTAAAATAACATGCCCGTGGTCGGAACAAACTACCCTGTCATTGAAACATCGTCCCACACTTTTGGAACAACCCTCCAGATTGTTGGAATTGAAACAACTTTTCCGTTGTTGGATCAACCCCTTATTGTGAAAAACAAATAGAACTAACAAAATCCCTCGCGCCAAAATTTATGCACAATAAAAGTGAAACAAAAAATATTTGTGGGTCTTTTGTCTGTGGGTATTCTGTCCTTGTGGGTCTTCTGTCTGTGGGTCTTTTGTCTGTGGGTCTTCTGTCCTTGGGTCTTCTGTCTGTGGGTCTTCTGCGTCGACACGAAAATTTATATTTTTGGTTAATTAATAGTGAATAAACTAATATCTTAAACTTGTCTATAAAAGGACAAACAAGCAAAAAACAGAGACTTAAAAATATTTTATTATAAATTAATATAAAAATATAAAAATATTATATTTTTATTAATATAAAAATACTTAAAAATATTTAAAAATATTTTATTTTTGGTTAATAAAATATTTTTAAAAATTTTAAATTTAGGATGAACCCTATTAGAATTTTAATAATTCTAATATTCAATGCGATATTATGGAGTTCGATTAATTCTGTTAAAAATAATAAAGATCAAAAGGAGTTGCCAAGAGTTGAGGAGACCTCAAAGGGTTTGACTAATAATAAGATGTTTGATGAAGGGGCAGAATCATTGGTCGATCCCCAAATTCCACTGTTCAAACCAAAATCTAAAATTTCAAAGGAGACAACTATGGGTAATGAAGAAAAAAAGTTAAAGAGAAGAGTGTATATGAAAAGATACAGGCAAAATAATAACGAAAAAATGCGAGAGCTAGGTCGAAAATACTACCAAAACAACAAAGAAAAGATTCTAG